GAAATAAAGAAAGAAGCAAAGGAGAGGAAGAGAGGAGCCTTTACACAACAAACAGGCCTCCCTTCCCCCTCCAGCTATATGTGCATACGTCCTCCAACTGTTGGTGATATAGACCCCGGAGGAGCTGTTAACAGCAGTGGCATGGAAAGTGTTTGCTGTGAGGGTAGCCAGAGGCCAACCCCCTGACACTGCAGGCCCTGTGGATCTGCCACAGCCTTGGAGCTGCTGCACTGCTTATCACAAGCCTTTCTCTCTCTCTCTCTTGCAGCTTGCATGGGCCAGACACAAATACACACATTTTATTTCTGCTTTCTCTCTCTCTCTCTCTGCAGATATGGTTTGTGACACATGATGGGGCCTTATTGTCCACTGAGAAAAACACATTTCGCTTTTATCTGCAAATGCAGATGGTCTGCCTGTGAGCCTGCTGGCTGTCTGAGTTTTTTTAAATATCAGTTTAGCCTTGATGTTTCATATCTTTTAAAAAGTCAGACTCTTTCCTCCTCTCACTTGATCCATGTCTTATGTCTTGTTAACATTTATCATACCTGGTGGTTAGTCCTTCCATGTGATGCTCATCTTTAGCTTGGTATTTTAAACCCTGCATGCATGATGTGGTTTTACTGAATGCAAGTTTGAGGATATTAGAGGCAGACTGCCACTTACATTATCAAGTTCTTTTGACAGCTTCCAGCCTACTTGACTTTGACAAACTGTGCACGTGTGCTTTGGTTCTGTAATATTTACCATGGGTTTAGCCTAAGTATTAAGCATAGCTAAATAGGAGGCTTTAATTCGTCTCCAGTGGGGAAAAAAAGGTTTAACTTGACCTTGAAGTCACATGATGGTGCTGCTTTTAACTGTCATGCTTTCTTTTGTTTTTGCCATCCACAATATAATACTAGACTGTCATTTGGAGATCTATTTTACATTGTAACATTTCGAGCTCGATGTAGCTGGAGTGCTATAAGAAACTTAAAAAGATGGCTTTTGAAATTTCTGTCTTCATCTGGTTGGGCTGGGATATTTTTTTTTTTTTTTTTTTACACCAATAACAGAACTTACCTTACCTTGTCTTACTAGAGCCCCATCATGTAATATGCAAAAGGTGTGTTTAATACATGCAGACTTTGCTTGAGTTTATACAACAATTTGCTGGTAGGATGGCTGGTTCATGTGTAACTAGGGAGGCAAAAAATGATGCCAGTAGTAGTTGGTGCAATATGACTGTCCTTCACATAACATAACTTAAATTCCATACTGGCAGGTTTTTGTAGTATTACATACATTAGTGGTACAGACATGAACAACACCAGGACTTAAATGGTAGTGTGTGTGTGTGTTCCTCACACATTCAGTAAAGCTACCTTTATTGAAAAAATTCATGTATTTTATTCTGTTATGGTTAGTGAAGGTACATAATGTGTGACAAGGCCTTCTGAGGCAGAGACAAGGACAAGTGGCATGCTGTTTTGACACCACAGGTGTTGCTTCTCGCACTGTTTGTCGTTCTGTTGACTAAATGTGAGACAGTGGCTGAAAGATTTCAAGTTGTTTTCAGTGGAGATTTTCAAATATGTCGAGGCTAAATGCTCCTTTATATTTTTTCCACCTTGCCAATGAATCATTTTTGGAAGAAATGCTGTCGATCACATTCTCCTTTTTGCTACGAAGAGTCTGCAGTGTCCTCAGCTACAGTGGAGCCGACAACTGGCTTGAGTAAGGACAATGTGTGTGGGGAGAAGAGAGATAAGGAAGAAGGAGAGAGGAAAAGAATGGGGTGGAGAGAGGGTGTTGTCAGGGGAATAATAGAATGCCTCAGAGGCCCTTGTAGACACTGGGCAGCAGGACAGGGGGAAAAAAATGGTGTGGAAGAGAGGAATAAGAGGTTAAGCCAGTGAGAGAAGCAGAGGGAGAAACAGCAGGGTGAGAGAAGTGGCAAATAGCTTCGGGGTGAACTGCTGATCTCAAGTCAGGCCTACAGAGGGGTTGTGGTGATGACACACCTTTTGACTAAGCCTTGACTCACCCTCCAATCTTTGTCTCAGTGTGTGAATATGAATAGCCAGTTTTGTTCACAGCAGTAGCTTAGTGATAAATCTGACAGTTTGGCTCTATGATTTCTACTCTTTGTAGCTTATCACTTATCCAGCTCTCTTATCTTGGAGTCCCATTGATCATTAATGTGAAGCAGCTAAGGCAGTGCACTGTGCTCATTCTGTTGAAACGTGTATGAGTGAATGTTGGGGAAAAGTGTGTGTTTTTCTCTGTTGTTGACTGTGTTTGTCAAAGGTCGTGAGTCGTGTCCTTGTAGTGCATTAGTTTGGTCACTGCTTTTTGTGTGTGGGGTTATCGCTGGGAAAGGTTGCCACAGGACATATTCAGCTGCACGTGTGTCCCTCACAGCCCTTCATCAAGCTGAGTGTTTGTTAGCACCAGAAGGATTGGCCGGCTGGATGGATGGCTGAAGAAAGGGCACGGACACCACATTAATTCCCCCCTTCCCTCTGCCATCTGAGATGCTGTGTGGCACTTCAAAGGTGGAGCAGGGTGGTGTTAATCCAGGGGCTGTAACAAGCTCTCCACTCTGCCGTGCTGCATTCAACTCTCCACTCTTCCCCCAGCTGTGGCCCCCAGCTTTTTCGAAGTGTGATCAAAGTGCAGTTTGTGTCTGATGGATGTGCTCACTCTAGCCCAGAGGCTGCCTGACAGGGGACCAGGAAGTGGAAGGGAGCGTGACACAAGATCTCTTGCCATCCTGTACACACGCTCCTGTACGCACAGAGATAGACATACCTTCTTTCTATCCTTTAATGATCAGAGCTTTGCAGCTGAATAACATACGTACATGTGAACAAGTCATGACACATGTGCTAGCTTAAGCAACTGTTTAAACCAGTGCAGTGCTCTTTGCTCTTAAAGCTCTGCCTCCTTTGTCTTAGGCTGGATGTACATTGTACATATTTGAATTGTCAAAATTTGAGGGCTAAACTCTACAATAGCAGTGTCTTAAGAAGCACTGTTGCTCTTGTGGTGTGAGATGTAGATTTTCCACACTTGGCAGTATATGCAATAGCAATGCTGCAGCAATAGTATGAATCTAATTCTGTGGTATTTAAAACTGAACTGAAAACTTGACCGCTGAATCACAAGCATGCCCAAATTCTGTTTCTTTGTGTTTATGTTCTTTTCCTGTGAACGTATGACTGCACAAATCTGTCAGCTGGTTGCTGTGCTTGTGTTTGACAGGACATGACAGGAAATGGATCCTGGATGCCTACAAGGTTTAACTGTCTTCAAAGCCCTTGTCATTGTGGATGTAAATTGTAATGTTGCTTGAATTGTCTTGTCATTATGTGCTTGCATCATTGCCATGGCAATACGGGAAGTATGGTTGGTAAATGTCTTGCTACCATAACACTTAAATACCATTTGGTGTGCTCCTGGTCTTACTCTCACATGCACACACCAATCCCATAACCTCAGGACCTCCTGTCAAAGTCTTGTTGTTGAATTATTCAGAGATCCATTGCAGTCTGTCTTGTTTGCCAATTGTCAGCAGGTTGATATGTAGGCTTTTAAATTGGTCATTAGAATGATCTCATAAAACTTAATGAACTGTTCTTCCTTTGAGTCATGAGACTTGGCGGATTTTTATCTGTTGCCATCAAACTCGTTATGGTGGTATGTTTCTATAGTAGCTTGAGTCAGGAGCCAGGAGCAAGCTATCCTGAGTGTTTCCCTCATGCTTTTCTTTTCTAATCTCAAGCAGAAACATTCATCTTATCCTGTTTTTCAACTTCTCTCCTAACCTCCTTTCTGCCCCTCCCCTCCCCCCCTTCTGTTTTTCATCGCACTGACTTGTTGGCTCCTGGCTTCCGTCGTCCTCCATGGCCGGGAGGTGTGTACGCTGACCTTTGGTGACCTCTGAGCTCACCCAGGTTCTTCAATAGATGCAGATAGTGGAGAGGAGAGTGAGTGCACAATTATTAAACATGCCTCTGCATCCTTGAGATAATTTTTGACCACTTTTTTGTTCTTCTTGAAGCTGGGAGGAGAGTATACCATGCAGACTAGAGTTTGTTGTTAGTTAGAGAGCGGTCACTAAGAGGGGTGAGGAGTGGTCAGCTGCAAGCAGCCATGTTCTTTTTCTGAAGAGCAACTGGTCGGGCTTCAGCCTGAAGGGGCTGCTTTGCATCCCGCAAAAGAGGCCTTTAAGTGAAATGGACACTTGGCTGATGGAGCACTTTGCATTAGCATTTCTGCCCTCTCAGCCTCCTGTTCCCTCTCTCTCCCCCTCCTGTTCTACTCCAGAGCCTTTGGGTGGGTATCATTGGAGAGAGCAGTGCATGCTGGGAAGCTTTGCGGGGTTGGTCAGCAGAGGAGAGGAGGGGGCATGGCTGTGTTGTAGCTCCAGGCCCCTGCTGCCTGCCATCTCTCCTTGGTGCTTTCAGGTCTTTTAGAGTTTGCTCGGCTGGTTACTGCCGCTTCATAAAACCTCAATGGCTGAAACACAATGCCAGGCAGGAAAGGGGTCATGGCTGAACTTGAACCTCAGCTCCAGCCAAACAACCACTGGCAAACCAAGAAGCCCTAATCAGACAAGTTGCAAATTCCAACCATCCCTCCTGCTGTCTGCCTCTGTCAGATTACCTCACACTGATACCAACACTCTTAAACATGTATGCTGAGGCCTCACTAATATAATGTCTTATTCTTTTGATGCATAAACTCACAGCTGATATATTGGCTTTTCTTTTCATATATAATGACTAACAATGGTTTGATATGTCAAATATCACCTAATGGTCATAATGCGTTTGTGTTTTTAAAAGAGTTATCCTTTGAAACTGCTCTGGTTCCATCATTGTGCAGTGAAGCTGTGACAACATGTAGTAACTTTGTACCTTTTGTACCAATATCTCTGGTCTGTTAAGTGAAAGTACATTGTAGGTGAAAGTACGTGCGTTGACCCTAGTTTCTCCTTTTGTTGTGTCCAGGAGTTGGAGAAAGCCCTGTCAGAGCAGGACTTGGACTTTCTCGGGGACCTTATTGCCTGTCTGTTGCAGGGATGCTACCAGCGCACCGACATCACGTAAGTATTTGCTATATTGGCAACGTCTGTCGAATCTAATGTCAATATATTCACTGCAATAAGGTCCCTCTGTGTTTTGGTATCCCCAACAGATACAGTAGGTTTTGAGTCAAATACAGTAGGACATGAGTTAAGTGTTTTTTGTTCTTCTATCATGGCTGGGATGTGTTACTTGAGTTTTGGCACCAATATGAAAACGATACTTTTTAAACAGCTCACTTAAAGAAATATAAACATGTTTTTCTAAACAAATCATTTTTCATTTACAAAAGAAGGCAAACTTTTAGATGTTGGTTCAACATACAGCCATAAAACTACATAACGTTGCCTAAATAAAATTGTTTTAAATTGGAAATGTTTCAAGTTTAAGAAGGTATCTAGCCAAATACAAGTAAACACAATAGTAAAACTGATCAGTTAGTCGATGCCAGCGCTGGTTACTGGACAGTTTTTGAAACCCTGCCTCGTTAAAGTGCTCTCAAAAAAGAATAAATTTGACAAGAAAGTTTAATGGTTACCAGTGAATCATGATGGAGAACGAGCAGCGATAAATTGTACAAGGTTTGGTTTAAGGTCATTAAATAGAAGGATGTGTGTCATACACCTTAAACCAGTTTTAAACCTGCTCTGACTTGTGTTGTTGAATTATGTGCAACAGACCCAGATCTAGGTCTTAATCCTGCTAGAACTAGTACAGTGTGTGAAAACATTATCTGCAGGTTTTTTTTTTGATAAAACATCAGAGACACAGTGGAAAAGATTCAAGGAACATTTTTTTTCATTTTTATTTGGAGCTGCCAAAATAAAAGTCTTTCCATTGACAAAATTAGTCAGAGAATGCACAACCTGTCATAGGACGTGTGTGTGTCATCAGCATTATGACTTGCTGAGGAGTCAGAATTTACTCACCATACGATGAGTTAAGGGCTGGTGAAATCATGCTCTACTATTGCAGTGATGAATGAGAACAGCATACCCACTGAAACTTTTATCTTTCCTGTGACCAAGTGATGGGAGAAAGTGAGTATGTAGCAGAGCTTGTTATTCAAATCCACAAATGTGCTTTATCTCTAACGGGGCTTTCCCCTGTGTGTACACCTCCTGTTCTAGCACATCATTAGAAAGTAGCATACTGGTACAAGTGAACTTATAAGCAGAGAGGCAGGAGTGATCCAGTTTTTCCATCCAGGCAGCCGGTAACAGGAGGACAACCTGCTTTATTGGACTGGACAGGCGCTGGCATCCTGGGGGTGGCTGCTCAGCACTGGCCTTTCACAGAGCTGCCCTTTTCATCCGCACGCGTTAAACGCTCTGCCGGAGCGGGGGAAAGGAGGGAGGGAGGATGTCGGAGAGAACGAGGGATAGAAAAGAGGAGAGAGATGGGGTAGTGGGAGGGGGAGGCTGCAGCTGTGTAGAAAGTGCACACTGCTCTTTCAAGATAAGCCATATTTTCTGTCCCACTCTCTTTGCTTTTGCATAGATGCTCACCCCTGCCCCAAGCTCTTGTTCTGTTAATCTGAGTTGGAAATGAAAGTTTCAGATTAATCGGCTAGACCCAAACAGGAACCAGCATTTATTCACCAGCTCCCACTCTTAGCAGAGATACAAACCTACTCCCATTCAAAGAAACTAGTCTTTTTCTTCAGCCCCACCTCCACAGCCACTGTGGTAGTTTGAACTTTGTTTCTTAAGCTATGTATTACAATGGCACCAGTTGATATTGAAACTTGGTTGGCATTTGCAATTGAATTGGTTGCATTTATCCACACTGACAGAATTCAATGGACCAAAAAAACCCTCTGTCTGGCTTCTTTTTTTATTGTTTGTTCAAGTAAACATCATATGACATCTTAAGTCATAGTTCATATATTACTATTTTGCTAATGACATCACGATCTAGTAAGTTTGTAATAATCATTTAAGAGTCAGATATTTGAAACAGGTCAGTATTATTTATATAGCGCTAAATCATAAAAGAAGTTATATAGACATAGTCTTGCCACGGCTGCTCAGCACCTAAAACCTGAGACCCTCACAGATGGTAAGACACTAGTCCATTACAACTTTCCATAGTAGGAACAAATGAAGGATCTTATGTGGAGAGAACTCGGCAAATTCAGACGAAAACGGAAGAATAGTAACTGACACTCACAAGGAAATTGAGACAACCTCAAAAACAAAAACAAAAGATTGTGATCATGCAAAAGGTACCTCAACCACAAGAATGTCACTTGCTGCTTCCTCTATAGGTATAGTGCTAGTCATAGCACTAAGAGAGTATAAAGTTTTTTCAAATGAATTTTCTATACTGCAATGTAAGGCCCAAAATTATGTCAATAATTTTAAGATATTCTATCTGCTTTTGAAAATGCTCTCTTGTTTAAAATTCTACATTTTTGTGGTCTTGAGAAACACAGCATCTGCCGTTCTCACTTCCTGTCAATCTCTCTTGCTGTTTCGCTCTGCTCTTTAGCCCCCAGGCATTTAGCAGTTACCTGGATGACATCATCAGCTACAGGTGGGAACTGGAAGAGGGGAAGCCCAACCCACTCAGAGAGGGGCCCTTTGAGAATCTCCCCCCTCGCACTCAGGTGGAACTGCTGCACCGGCTCTGTGACTACCGTCTGGATGCTGCTGATGTCTTTGACCTGCTTAAGGTACATCACTCATGATGATCAGCTGAAAGAATCTAGATATATTTGTTTCATGCATGCCATTTATTTATTTATTTTGCGTTACACAGATTTATTTATTTTTCGTCACAACTGAACTGAAATTCAAGCATGTAGTTGCAGGCAATGATACTGGGGTTCAAGGCTTTGCACTAACTCTGTTGAGCTTGCATTAATTAATATGGAATAACAGAATGTGTATGATGGTGTGACAGTACGTAACCTATAAGCATTGTATCCACTAACACTTTGTGGTAAGTACATTTTAAAAAACCTGCTACTTTAATTCGTTTTCACCTCTTATAATGGTAGTAAAGCACTTTAAAGCACTGTAAGATTTATCTTTTTTATAATCATGGAGGTGTCATTTTTATGTTCATTTAAACTTATAATAGAAGTCAGCCGTCTCACAAAGAGAAGCTCCTGGACAATAGCTCAATATTGGTAAATCTATGTCGTGGCATAAACAAAGGTATGATTAATAATTACTTGAGTGTGTTATCCTCATGTTTTCTGTCAGTCTACAATTTTCCTCTAATATATATATTTTCCTGTTTTCTCATGAGATATGAAAAGTATCAGATTCAATTAATGAATGCAATTTCAGTCAGATACTGAAAGCGCTTCATGTCTGCAAGATTCACAGCTGTGTAGGCTGAAAGGACTGAATGACATCACCCACTAATGACTGAAGATTTAGAAACACAGTCCTACACATGATTTAAGAAATGTGATGTCCCCACCCCCACCCTCCCCTCAGGGACTGGATGCAGACAGCCTGAGGGTGGAACCACTGGGGCAAGATGGAAATGGAGCCCTCTACTGGTATTTTTACGGCACCCGTATGTACAAAGAAGAGCCAGTCAAGAGGAAAGCAGACAGGATCAGGTAAATACCACTGAGCACTGTGTGTCTTCTTTATCCGTCCAATACACAAGAATGAATGTAATGCCACTGTTCGTGTTTTTGATGATTAACTATTGCATGTGCTAAGTGTGTAATTGCAGTGTTGGTTTGACACTTGTTTACAGGCCTGTTAAGGGTTAATTATAGCATCCTCCCATTGTAAATTACCCTTGTTAAAAGGCTGTAATTTTAAAGAGTTCTTGCTACTTTGTGTTGTTTTTCCAACAGTGAACCCTCTGAACTAACTTTACCAGAGAAAAAGAAAAGGGGAAGACCTCCAAAGAAGAGAAAGTTGGATGACCCTCAGCTAAGGTGAAAACCAATTTTGTTTTTTGGATATTGCCAACAGCATATTGCAGAGAATTGCTGATGTGTAGATGTGCATGTGTTGCACAGATATACTGGTTACGTCAAGAGAATACATGGATTTAACTGTTACAGCCATGTTGGTTTTACCATGTGGTCTTTCAGTGATATCAGATATTAATTAGGGTTTCATACAATCATATTTAAAATTACAAATCAAAAAATTGTAAGACCTTTTGTCAAGGTCTGGAAAAGTTCTATAAAAAAATTATTCTACAAAATGATTCACAATCAGATTATTTATGACTTGTGTTATCATTTCCTTTATTCTTAGTTAATTGTTGACTGACCTGTAGCCTCCCACTTGATCTGAAATGTAATAAATAGTTGATTGTTTCTTGGTAGTCTCCAACCATATGGTGATCACAAGTGAAGGTCAGAATTTTAATTTACTCTATAAAGCCTAAAAGTCATGGAAGCATACTGTTATTTCATTAACAAAGTACAGGACTGCTGCTCTTACATTAGAACCAATGCATTTTTTTTTTTATTATTTTGTTCTTTGAAGCTGTTTTGGATCTATTTATCTTCAGTTATATTTTCCTTTCAGTGAGGTGGAAAGAGAAGTGACAGAAGTCGAGACAGAAAATGGACTGGAGGACTTGCCCCCAAGCAAAGGTGACAGGATCTCAGCAAAATAAGCAATTTATTTTTATGTTTACTACAGGGAATCTGTTGTTCACTGAGTTAATGGTCTGTACACATTTTCTTTTGAATCAATAAGCATATGTTTCTCCTCTTTGCTTCCACTAGGCCATAAGCGAGGCACTTGGTCCCTTGTTTGTGATACAGAGGAACAGTGGGTCAGACTGGCAGAAAGCATCAAGGACAAAACCTCCCCACAGGACCGCCACCTCTACCGTGTCATCAGCCAGAACTTCCTGCCCGAGATCAGCAGCATGATTCAGCACAAGGTCAGACACAGAAGAGACACTAGCATTAGACCCCATTAAAGCAGCTCACACTGTCTTCTCAAACCTACATTTTTCATGTCCAAACATGGTAGATGAGTCAACATCTAAAAATGCAAACTGATTTTTAGCTTCCTATTGTCACTCGCTTGACAGCTGGAGTGTTTTCTTAGTCTGTTTATTTGCCACTGTTTTTTTTTTTGTTTTTTTTTAAATATGGGCTACTAGTGAAATCGGCTCTCTTCCTAAATCCTGACTTAATCTTAACCTGTTCTTTGAGTTGGAATTAAATTTTCAAAAATCTCTGAGATTGGTGGTCCTAAACTATTAACTAATCGAGCTGGAAAAATTGAATACAATCTACATTTAGCTACTTTTATGCTCTGGCGCAGATCACTGTCCTCCTCCAGTCGTTGTTTTTGGGATCCTGCAGTCTTACCTGGGATGGCTGCAGGACAGGTGGAGTGAAAGAAAGCTGGTCTGTGCTTGCTCTTAATTCTGCGCACCTGTTGGTGATGAGGTTGGCCTCAGGCCTTTAACTTAAGCCTGACAGTGGAGAACTATGCTCTCAAGCAAGTTTGGCAGAATGAGGGCATAAGTTATGTAGTCAGTCTTTTCTGTGCTTGGCAGTACGTTAGGTCATGCTCATCTGTTGATCATTATCTTCCTTGGAATCTCTCAAGTACGTATAGCATATTATAGACATAGTTAGACATTTTTTGTTTTTAGCAAGCATGAGTTAGATGCAACAGCCTAGCCACTAATTTTTCCTTCCAACTTACAGTATGTCTATAGTTTGCAATGGAAGTCATTTCTGTGATTGAGTGCTACAGTTATTCAAAGCTAGAGTATGTCCTTGATTTTTATCCTACCGTTTGTATAAAGGCGAGTGGGTTCTTTCCACTCCTATGATGTATAACCAGCACTGACTGTTGCTATAGAAACCCTCTCGGCCTGTATCCATCATCAGCAGCAGTGAAGTAAAGAATCCTGCTGGCCGTTTGATGGCGACAGAGGGGTCACTCACTTATCACTAATGGTCAGTAGATGAATGTGGTCTTGTCCTTCATTAACTGTACACTCAGCTGTACAACTCAAGGCACATTATATATGGCATTCAGAAGGCCTTCTGTCTATAGCTTCGCTAAGTACAGAATATTATTCAAGTGTTCTTGTGGTCCTTTGCTCTTGTATTTAATCTACAACTGACTACATTATTTTTACAATGTGAAAATAATCAAAGAGAAGTGCATTCCTCTATTGTTCTCATATGCAAATAAATTGCACTCAAGTCGCACAGCAGGAGATCACGCTAAAATAGCCTTTTTATTAATTACGTTCATTATGCCAACACATTTCACTGTGGTACTGTACACAGTCCATCCCTCATTTAAGAACACATGTATCTTAGGCAACAAAGTGAGCTCTAGCAGGCGGCCTTTTTTCTATTTGATATTGAGTGGTGTCTAATTAAGAAAGACATTGTTACTACTTAAAACCATAATCCCCTGCTTTTAAGTTTATCAAAGGCACATTCCCCAGAGCCTTAATGTAATGTCTTAAAATTGTGTTTTTGTCTCACCAACAGTCCAAAAGGCAAAGTTATTCAATTTACAATGATATATGTACTGTATATATAAAAGAGAAAAGCCACTCCTCCCATTAAAACAGGTGGAACCAGCAAATGTTCAGGATTTTGCCTGCTGAATGATATCAAATATTTACCATTCATCAATATTGTCGTCATAGCATAGCACAGTGTGTGTATTTATATATACATAAATATATCTGTCTTTATGTGGGTGTGTGCATACAAGCGTGTCCAATACACAGTGTGTATAGTCTTTTGAATCTTTCTTCCTCATGTCTCATGCTGCTGTCACCAGCCATTTCACGGGGCACTGACAGCAGGCGGGAGCTCACCTTGAGGCAGAATGGAGCCTCTTGAATGACAGCTCTGCTGTGCTGCAGGATTCTCCAGACCTCTCTAAGCGGTGACACCAGAGGCACTCTATCTTGTGTGTGTTGGTTGGAGGGGGGATTTAGTGCTAGTGGTAATGTAGAAAGGAATTGTGTTAACCCCAGGATATGGCAGTGTCACTCTACGACAAGGCAGAGATGGAATGGGAACAGAAGAGTTGTGGTGGGCAGTATAGATCAGATCGTGAACAGCTTTTTTTTCTTCTCCCACTCTCCTCATTTGTTTTCTCTGCCTCTCACTCCCCACCCACATCTTCCTTCCTCATTTGCCTTTTCACCTGCAGACGTGCGCAAGCTTCATGCAACTGCTAATGCATTTTTAAATATCCAAGTTACTTTATGGATGGCCAGATGCCTGACTGTTACACCTCTCAGTGCTGTTAGCTGCGCTGGGCTGACAGTTATTCTCAGTCGTGCTTCCCTGATAAACTCTGACATGAGCTGTAGAGGCTAGTCCCTGACATAGACAGGCTTTCCAGGGATCTACTTGGAGCTCTCTGTTGGCTGGTGTTTCACTCCTTTGCTTCATGCTCTTGATCTGGATCACTGGACTCAAATCAACATTATAGACTTTATTTTCAAGATGTATTCTGAAGAATTCAAAAAAATATTGTGATCAAACATTCCACAATTTGCAGTTGGGTGCAACGTGCATTTACACGCACCACCTTCTCTAATCATTACATATGATTAGTAGAGTCACGGGGGCCACACATGGTTTGATTTCCTTTTTTTTTTCCTAAGCTTGGCTGTCACCCCAGGGAAAGGTGGGGAATGTACACAGCAGAGAGAGAGGGTGGGGGGAGGGAAGAGCAGAGCCAGTGACCTCTCAATACTCAATGCCTCTTCACAACTCCCCAGGGCCTGTCAGTGTGGCTTGTGTGTGGTGGTTGTCTGTTGATCTGTCTTGAAGGCTCAATCAGTAATTTGTTGACTGTATCAATTACAGACATTTCCACATACAGTATGTAATTCAGAAATTTTCAAAAGGAGCTGTGATTGTAGAGGAAAATGAGAAATTAAAACATAAGATCACCTTTTACATTAAAAGACAAACATGACCGTCTAATAATTTTAGTTGTCTGCTTTACTTGGCTTACTGAAAACCAATCAGTCCAGGAGTGAGGTTCCAACGTGGCATCGTCCTTTTCTCTACACTTCATGGATCATGGATACACGATATGTTGTGGATGTTACAGACCCAGTTCACACCTGGCATTAGAATGTGTCTCCACGTGCATCCAGTGACCACTTGTGATCGAATCTCACTTCCCTGCTCTGTATGCGAATATACACATGGGCTGCTGTTTTTAGCCAGTCCGACTATGACAGATGGGTCCGTTGTCAGTGTGTTTGACAGAGAGAAAGAGAAGAGGGCAAGGAGGGGTTGAGCTGCTCACAGATCTACAATAAAATAATGTTCTACCCATTTGAAATCGTAAAATATTTTCGGTTCATTATGAAAGTGTGGTGGGACTAATTGGACTGTGGCAGAGGACCACTTGCAAATGTGGTCCAAGTGACCGAATCTGAAACACATCCTCAATACGTCTTGTGTGATCCACACCTGAACTTAGAGCTGTCCACTTGTAATCGGATCACCTGAGACGGATGGTAATGCCCGGTCTGAACAGGGCCGCAGAATATCACAGAACAGGCGTAATCATAGAGCTAAACTTAATTTTTTTTTCCTCTGTGTTTATTTTTACTTAAGGAGCGGGAGCAGAAACAGAAACTACTGGACCCAACCCCAGTGCGCATATCGGAGCGCTTCTCTGAAAAACACATTCAGCAAGAGGACGAGGTGTGTGTGTTTGTCTCTGTACATGTTTTTGGTATAGTATTGAAGACTGTAGGTATAGTGCTGCAGTAGGATAATAGAATATCCAATTTGCAGACTTAATTTGTAGCGATTCTTTTTATTTATTTGTAATTTAGTGATTGATTTAATAATTGATTTTGTTTTTAGCTAGTGCAAACATCTCCATGCAGTGGGGTGTCTGGTTAGCCCCTAGCAGAATCTTTTTGGTTTGGGTGTTCCAGTTGCTTACTTCTGTACATTATATCAGACTTGTGCATACAACATTAGGAGTAGAGAGATCCAACTTTCAGCTTTCCTACCATGAGTCCAGAGTGGGTTAATGGACTTGTGTGTATGTATTCAGGACAATCAGAAGGCTGTGGCAGAGGACGAGAAGAGGAAAGATGAAGAGCTGGATAGGCAGGTGCTGCTGGCTGAGCAGCGACGAGAAGAGGAGAGGCTTCTGCAGGAAGAGCGGCAGAGGGAGAAGATGGAGAAGATCAAAGCTGTGGAGGGTAAGATGAATGGATACGCAGACAGATGGAACACAAATGGAAAGCTCTGTTTGTGCAAAAGAACCCATATTTTCAATCTGATTTCTGAGTGTGACACTGCAGCAACCTTATATACTTAAAAACTTGGTAGTATATGCAGAAAGGATACAAAACAAAAATGAAGCTAAGTGCAAAAAGTCAAATATAAAGGAGCAGCAATAATTTCATATTCTTTCATCAGCAGCATGTCAGCAGCAGGTAGGGGGCTTTCATGCTCCTCTTCCAACTCAGGGATCAAGGGCAGAATGGATTGTGAAGGGCGCCCCATGCTCAGGCTTTCACATTTCCATTGCTGTAGTTTGGTTCTTAACGGCTGAAAAATCTGCAGTAGCATAGCAGCACTTGAAGCCTTGTGATTTATGTATAGTACACAGAGACTGTGAGAGGGAATGTTCAGGGCCTTTAATCACAGGATCACTTCTCTTCTTCTCCCTCCCTCTGATGTCATCTGTCAAGGGTTAATGAACTGCTGATTGTGCTTCAGTGGAGGAGCCTCATTAATGTATTATAGATTAACAGCAGGACCTGGTCTGCTCTCTGTGTGGATTGCATATGTGGAATCCTCCCTCAAACATCTTTAATCCACACGGCAGGGGGGCGGGCAGGCCGCTCTTCCTTTCATGTTAAAAGATAAAGCAGTGATACATATGCACTTTCTCTGCTCTGCTCTTTTGATCAGCTGGGCCTAAGAAAAGATGGCTGATGAATCTCTCATTCTACTTATCTGAGCTGCTGCTGTCTCTGATGGCTAAGGCCTGGTTTTCATTGACTCCCCTGACAGCCTGAATGGGCAGACCGTGCGATTTAAACTGTAATTCAAGAGCCTGAAAAGCAATTAAAACATTGTTTGCCTGAAGCCTCCCAGGACTGGTGTGTTTTATTGTTTGTGCCTTTAATTTCTCCTTGTGTTGATCCTCCTCTCCAAGAACGAGCAAAGAGGCGGAAGATGCGAGAGGAAAAGGCCTGGCTGCTGTCTCAAGGAAAAGACCTGCCACCTGAACTCCTGAACCTGGAGCCGTCTTCCCCTGTCCACAGAACACGCAAGAATAAAGAGTTGTAAGTGGCTTTGTACATTTGACATCAGATTTTGCTTTCTATTTATATGACTCAATCTTGTGTATTAACATGTCCTGTGTTCAACCTAATAGCTATGAAATTGATGACGACTACACCGCTCTATACAAAGGTATGCTCACAGAATGGTTACTGAAGGCTATTTCTTTATCTCAAACCACATTAATGTCTGTTCTAATGCTTGGTCTGATCTAATCTCTCATCTTCAGTGCTTGAGGTCCTGAAAGCCCATAAAGATGCTTGGCCTTTCTTGGAGCCTGTGGATGACTCCTATGCCCCCAATTACCATGAGATCATCCAGGTACAAATTATTGTCATTGTTTTCACAAAAGTGGTGTTTTTGTGATTTTGAGTTTATGTTTGTCTTACGTTCACATCTTACTCAATGTAGCCGACTGCAAATGCATATAATGCATGTGGTTTTAATTGTTTGTAATTGTATTATTCCAATCCCTTCAGACTCCCATGGACCTGTCCACCATTGAGAGGAAGCTCAATGACGGGGAGTACGTTGCTAAGGAGGAGTTTGTTGCCGACGTGAAGCTCATGTTTGAAAACTGCGTCGAGTACAATGGAGAAGACAGTGGTAAATGAGCACATCCAGTTCCACTCCAAAACTCCACTTGATTCCATTAACAGTCGGTCTCAGTTTAAGACTAATGCATCAAAATCAATTTCAGTAGGTGTGTGTTGTGAGAAAAGAAAGAAGTGCATACATGCATTTTTGGGGGTGAGAGGCAGGGGGTGAGAGTGGGAGAAAGAGCAAAAGAAAGGGGGCCGGACTTAGTGGTGTGTTGGGGCCGGGGCCAGGGCAGCTTTGACAGTGATTAATGGGGAGTGATTGAGCTGTGCTCTAGTGCTCAGGGGGATCTGAGCCTTGCAGTGCCAGAGAAACATTCCAGCCCCTAAGCCCCCTGTCTGGAGTCATCCATCCAACTGAATACTCTCCCCAGGGACAGGGGGAGGAGAGCGGTCAGGGGGGGCCTGGGTGGAGCAGGAGGAGAAGGAAGGGGTTGGAGGAGCAGGGGTCAACCTACGCCCTCTGACCTGGTCAGTCGGCCAGTGTGAACTGACAACAGAGGAGCAAGTGTGTGTCTATGGGTACATGCCATGCGTATTGAGTGGTAGGGAGTGACTGAGAGATGAGTGAGGTTGTGTATGTGTGACAGGAAGGGAGTGAATGAAAAGCTATTATTTGAGAGTACATGATTGGTTGTGCTATAGGTATGCGTTGTGTGACTGTATTTACGGGGGTGCAGAAGATGTGGTTGTGTGGAAGAATGTGTGTGTTATCATATGAGCATAGCTGATGTTGATGTCATTCTGCTTCCAGAGTACACTATCATGGCGGAGTCTCTCGAACGGTGTTTCAGTCGGGCCCTGTTAAAACACTTTCCGTCAGAGGATGGCGACACAGATGAGGAATTCCACATCAGTCGAGAAGACAAGGAGCGCAAGGACAAAAAGCGCAACCGTGGCAGTAAACATCTGGGACCTGAAAGTCTGATCAAGGCCACCGAGCAAGTCCAACGTAAGCGTAACTCCCAGGGTGGCAAGGGCAGCACACCCTCAGAGGAAGAGGACAACAAGCTGACACGGCCACTTCCTCCCCCTCACTGGGCTCACCCCCACAGCCTGCCTCCAAGCCAACAACGCATGCGGGAAGGAGACATTAGGGGCATGTACCACCCAGGGCAACAGGTATCAACAGAATAACTTGGCTTGTTTTTTAAAGTGCCTGCATTTCTAAAAACCTGTGCAACTAATTTGTCAGTTATCTCTCATAACCACCTTAATCATTTTTTTCTTGATTTCTGTCTGAAATGTACAAGAAAAACTTAAATAGTGAATTCTCTCTCTTATCTCACCAGCTCCATCGCCCCCCTGGTCCCCCTGGTCCTCATGGTCCTCATGGTCCACACATGTATGCTCAAAGAATGGCTATGGATCCCCGCTTCGCTTACCCAGGTCACATTCCCAGGCATGGAGACCCCAACTTGAACCGCTTACCCCGCAACTTTAACATGCAGGTATAAATTATTGTAATATTTCATTGGCAAGTACATATTCCTCACATCTTAACAAACTGTTTACTGTAAAGATAAATTTGTTAGATTAGATACCTTATTCTCATTTTCATTAATCATCAGCTGTTCTTTTCTGTTATTTTAATATTTTAACTGTCATAAGTATCAACAAATTGATTATATTTTTATTTATGTGTCAGCAAGAACAGCCTGTCCACAGTCACATAGAGAGGGATATTATAATAGAGACCTTTGTATCTTGAAGGTGGTAAAATGTGATGTATAGGTATACTGATCAAAACCCTTAACTAGATTTCTTCTGTTCTCTCAGCATCGCATGGTTGAAGGACATCACATGGGTCCCAGGTATCCAATGGGTCCAGATCCTAACCAGCAGCGGCCTCCACACCAGCAGCAGCACCCCTACATGGGTCCAACTCATGGCCCGTCTCTGGGCCCGCGTCCTGTGGCTCTACAGCCTGGACCTCCTCCTGAAGCCAGCATGTATCCATCCCACCACCATCCAGAGGGCCACACCATGCACCACATGGGCAACAGATTCTCAGGACCAGATGGACCACCTCAGCACAACTACCCAGGCTTGAGGCCCCCTGGTATGGGCCTATCCAACATGTGGACTGGTATGAGTCACCAGGAAAGACCCAATGGGATGGGCATGCAAGATCCCAACATGGTGAACCAGCGCAGCTATAGTTATGGTGGAGTCCCACCTCCAGCTGGGCATAAACCATGGCCAGAAGCCGCTGGATACCCCCACCCTTCTCCAAATGCCCAGTATCAAATGTCTGCAGGGGTCAGCTCCCAGGGGCCGATGTCCTCATGTCCCCCTGTTCCCCACCCAGACTCTTCTGGCAGGACACGCTTGGCTTCCATGCTGGAAAGCCCAGAGATGCTGGCCCTGCAGCAGCTGTCAGCCTCCTCTGGACCCCCTGCTGGTGCCCCTCATCAGCACATGGGCAACTTTCAGCAGCCTGGGCCCCCATCAGGAATTGGCAGCATCCCAGCTCACCCCTCTCAGCAGCCTCCCCCTGCCCCTGAGGTTCAGCTGCTGCGTCCTGCTAGAGACAATGGGCCAGACAGCCAGCCTTCCCAACAGACAGACATGCAGCCCAAAGGTAGACCTGACCTTCTCTCGTAGTGTTTCATCAGCCATATATATTCTGCATGAAGGAACCTGAGCACAGTCAAGCCTTTTTCTACACAAATGTTCTTTCTCGACTGTAGTGTCTCAATTTGTTAATCGGCACAGAACACATCCATTCCCTTTCTCCCTGTCAAGTGCTTTTTGTAATTTGATTTAGATTATTTTTCACAGTAAGAGGCTAATTGAATATTCATTAGTTTAGTGAAATTTCTTGCTGGTTGCTGTGAGGGTACAAAAGAGATGACATGTCATCAGTTAAGCTTCACTAGCAATCACTACAATCTACAAAATGTGTTTACATCTTCATGGTAACGGAACAGGGCATGGGTTAATTTTTCGTTTGCTAGTTTTGTATTGTTCATTTTTTATATGAATAAGTAGCATAAAATTTCAGTAGTAGACTTCAGTAGTTTCTTTGTCGTTTTGATCTTTTTATATTCTTTCACACAAAACCTTGTTCTTGTAATTATAGTTAATTAATCGTAAATGCTAACCTCCCCTCTGTTGTTCTTTTTTGCTAACTCCTCTTTCATCATTCTGTATGTTAACAGGCACAACATCAGAGAACAAAGTGGCTGCCAACAACATTTCAGATATGGCTTCATCACACAAAAATACTGTTTCAATTAATCAAGAGCACCTGTCCAACCCTAGTCCCACAGGACACCACAGTCGGGCAGCAGAGGGAAAGCAGAGCCCTGCAGCCCCTAAGGTGGGCAGATCACAGGAGAACCCGTCTGGACCGGGGCTCCCACAGAGTTCAACAGAGAGCCACAAGCAGGAGGTAGATGGCCAGAGACACTCTGCCAGCCACTGTCCTCCTCAACACAATAGTGCCGCTACTGTTTCATCCCATGTCAACACAAGTAACAACAGCTCCACTGATCCAACTCCACCCAAGCCCCTGCAGCATACACAGAACAGTCCTCAACAAAATACTCCAAGCCCTGCACTTCCTCCCCACAATGTCCTGCCACTGCATGTGTCAGCATCTCAGAATTCCACTCAACAAATGTCAGAGGACAACAACAACCAAAAACAGCAGCAGCAACCTCAGGTAACCAGGAGTTCCCCTCCTCAATGCCACCCTCCTAGTTCTCCTCAGCTGATGACCCAGAATGCGCAGCAGAAGGGTTCTCTGCTTTCTCCTAATCACGTCCCCCAAAACATCTCTCCGCCACGTCCCACACAGAACAGCCCCATGCATGGGATGCCACAGAGTGCCACACAAGGAGTCCAGCCTGGACCTCTACAGCCAGCTCCGCTCACATCTTTGCCACCCAGTCATCCTACCCCACTATTACCCTCCCAGCCCAGCCCAGCAGACCATGGAAATCAAAGACCTAGTGAGCCTACAGGTAGAGCAGACACAGAAAGTACTGCCGTTCCTCCACAACACACCGTGGTGAAATCCGGGCCTCCAAATGGTATTTATAAACACCAAGATTTTAGCCCCAATCACCATCAAACCCAGCTGGTGGGTAGTAGCACGGGTATGCAGGCTCAGAGAGGGCCCTCGCCTCATTACAATCCAGCCATGCCTCCTCACTCCCAAGGCCAGGTAAATGGAGCCATGGGGCCATACAGCATGGGGAACCCTCCACATCCACACTACTGCCAGCCCAACATGACCAGGTCCATGCCTCCATCTGCTCCCCACCCTTACCACAACCAGGCCATGAACTCCCTCCACAATCCTGTTAATCACCCCACCTATCATCAGCAGGGAGGGACTGCCTACTCCTACCACATGCCAGGCCAACAGCACCCTCAGGCCCACCCCAACATGTACCCACCTCACCAGTACCAGCAGCAACACTACTACCCCCAGCCCCATCCGCAAGCTCAGACCCATAACCAAGCCAACAGCAGAGGGGGTTACCCTTCCGAGGAGTGGCATCGTTCTCAGTATCAGCCTCGCCAGCCAATGCCGCCTAATGCCTACCTACCTATAGCCAGTGCCAGAGGCAATGGTCAGTCGAAGGAGAGCAGTGTGTCGCCATTGGGCTCTGAGGGCTCCAGTGGTGCTAGTTTAGTGTCCCCTGGCCCTGTGTCTGAAGCAGGGCCACACCCTGGAGGCCCAGAAGATGGCAAGCGTGAAAGCAGGGTGCAGGGCAGTGGAGGTAGCAGCAGTGGTGGCAGTCCAGCAAACCAGGCTCATACTGAGAGTTCAGAGCGATCTGAAAGCCCGAAAGAAATCCTAGACCTCGATAGCCATAACGCTGCTGCGCGCCGCCGTAGCACCCAGCCACATCAACAGCAGCACCCACCTGCTTCTGCTGCACACATGGCGTCTGGCTTCATGTACGGCCCTCGTGCCATGCACCCTGGGATGCAGCAAGGCGGCGTTCCTCCACCACACATGATGTCTCAGGCCCGAGGCGTTGGAAACGGAGGCCCTTACCCTGGCCAGCCATACCCAGATCCAGGACGCTATGCTGCCCAAAGACCCCACCCACACCTGATGGAGGCTCTGCAGCGGCCCCAGCAACTGCCTTACTCACCAGGTCAGACACGCATGGCCATGTACCGACATCCCCGGCCTGCGGGGCACTTCCAGGGCATGATGATTCAGCAGAGAGGCCTGGCACCAGAACACTTCTTGCACCCAGGGTAAAATAGTTTATCTGCTCTTATGTAGTTTATAGTTCGAAGCCTTATATTATAATATCTCTTTCAATCTGTAGTTTGGTTTCTGAGTCAAATTTTTTTCTTTTTGAGCATTTGTGTACTTTTTCTGCATTTACCTGTTTTATACTGTATATATCTATTGATTAAATTCATAATATTTGCAATTAGTATTGTTTCTGTAGATGCTGGAACTCCAGAGGCTGCAACTTAGGCTTTCTGTGTGCTCTCATGAAATGAAATATGGCTGTTCCTTTAAATGTGCAAAACAATGGCGTTTGTGACAGAAAATAAGCACCACATTTGGCTTAAGTTACAAGAGGATACACAAGCAGGTCACACAAATCTCATCCACAACTACATAATGACGTGGAGATATCATGTGACTGGTTACGTTTTTTGTCCTTCAAATTTGCAAGTTTGTAAATGTGGTGATTTGCTGCTTTTCTCTTTTCTGTACGAGATTCATTAACTTTGGATTTTAAACTGTTGACCAAACAATTAATCAGTTAAAACATGGCAGGTTATTTGATGATGATTGTTGTTTGCAGTCAAAATCATTACACTGGCATTCTTTGTTAAATCCAACTGTATGTGTTCACAGGCAGCAAATGATGGCTGGCCCAGGCGGCCCTAGCAATAAACAGGGAGTGTGACATACACCATGTGATCAGAGTGAGTGAAAGTATCTTCTAATACATTATACTGTACATAACTTTGTTATAATAGCAATTTCTTATTTCATCATCCTTCCTTTAATTTTTTTTATACCTTCTCTTCTCTGAAGGGACCAAAACACAGATCTGTTACATGACACTGTCAAGCCATGTTCGTATTGTATGTTAGTCCTAAATTTGCTCAAAGTCCAGGTGTTTATTATTAATTAATTGTTATTATTAATTGTTCCTCTTCTTTCAGCGCCGTAAAGAAGAAGCTACTCACATGCTGACTGGGCAGACAGAGACTACAGAGGGGATGCTTTGCTCCACATACGTCTTTTAGTGATATTCTTACACTGGACAAAAACCTTTGGCTCTGTTTTGCTCACCATTGGACTTGAAGATCCGACCAGGCAGCTGGTCTTACTAAGATGATAATAATGTGAAATGTTATTGAGCCCTGGAGAACAATTCCCCTGCTTTTCTCCACACAGAGCTCACAGTGGTCATTAACAGAATAGCTCTGTGGGGTAGAACTGGTGGGGATTAACTAACTTGCTCAAGGACACCTCACCTGAACAGTTGCTTCCCATCACGAGCGTTTGAACTTGGATCCTCCAGCTGAAGGGCAGCCTTTTTAACCACTAGGCCAACCTGCCAAATACAAAGGACACTGCCTTCAAGAACACTGGATTGGCCCTTCCCTTTTTGAGGAGTCAAAATACGGATGGATTAACACAGCCTGCCCACTTTGTTCACTGACTGTAGTGCTCGGTAGACCTGTGAATCCACTGACAGAACTGAGGACGACTGTGATGAAGAGGAAAGGGATTGTTGTTTTTACTACTATTTTCTGTTCCAACCATATCTTTAAAACTCAGGTGTAGAAAAGGAGGTACTATGAGACTGTCACCCTGACCCAGTCAACTCACAGGCCCCTTACAACTGCCTTGGTTTCCTTTGTGAATGTATGAGTGAATGTGTAAGTGCAGCACAGTAGCTGCATGTGAAAGGGCACATGATCACACTGATCATCTGCCTGAGGCATAAACCGTCCTGACAAGGCCCAGTTATTGTCAGTTACTGTCCATTTCCACCCCCTACTTTTAACAGTGTTTCTCCACTTGTGGAGGAAACGCATAGTATATGCATCTTTCAGAGCTGCCTTCATTGATAAGAATGTCTTTGACTAGCAGAGAGGGACCGACAAGGATGTCGCTGTTTGTTTCTGACTATACCCGACTCTGTTATGCACTATATGGTTTTTGTTAGTCAAGACATTCTGGAATCGAGAGGCCTTGGATAGTCTTATTTTTAGTCAATGCCTGTTAACATATATATGTATGAAAATATATATATTAATGAACCCTTCACTGTAGAGATGTACCTCTTGTCCCACATGAGGCAAATCTGAAATTCTCACACAGTGACATATCCTACAAGCTGGTTTATGCACATACACAGAACAAACACAGACGCATCAAATCCAATCCTGCTCCTGTGTTTTTTTTTTTTGTGTGTTTTTTTTTTGTTTGTTTTTTTTTGTGACATTTTTGCATTCCACATACAAATTTGTAGCTTTAGTTGTTTGTTGATTCACAGCCCTGCCCTCTGCATGGTTGCTTCTTTGAATGCTTCCTCGTCCCCATGTCATTACTAAACATATCCTCAGGGTGTACAGTTTCTATATACGGGTATTTTTCTGAATTATTATTTGAAAGAGGAGCAGCAAAAGTGAAATGGGACTGCAACTGTGGCAAATCAGTCCGCCTTGTGAAGAACTTGGCTTTTAAGGGTCTGTATTCATTGACTAATATTTAGCTTAGCACACTGCCAGCCTGTTAAACCCCTGTTTTGTTTTGTTTTTTTTCATCTTCATCAAAGTTGATTGCAAGTGAAATGGATCTAATCTGAGATATTCTACATTCCTGCTGATTTGATGTTATACTATTTGTAATCACAATTCATTTTGGCCTTCAGCAACCAATGTAGTTTTTCATAACCGGTGTGTATTTAGGGTTAGAGTTTTTTTTTTTTTTTCCCCCCTGTCATCCTTCACCCTTTCATATCAATGTTGCACCTGTGAGACCTCACTCGTGCAGTTAAGTGATGGCAGCAAATGAATCTACCTCATCTAGCCAGTCGGTGGCATCTACAGAGCCCCCCCCCCACTCCCACTCCCACTTCCTCTCTTGCTCTGCAAGACTCCTGTGGCTCAACATTTTAAGACCAGCTGATGATTTTAGCACCACCTTTAGTTTTTAGGCTCACAGAATTGATAATGAAATGACCTTACGATACATTTCCATCTTGGGAGAAAATCTTATGTCAGGTTGCTGTGCAACTTGACTCATATGTGGTGCTCACTGACCATCGACAAGATGCTGTCGTGATTATTCATCTGTCAGTTTGGCGCTGAGTGCAGGTGCTCTGTAGAAGAAGCAATCCTTGAAAGTGTACACTTTTTAATGGGTACTTTCACTTGAGTTTTTTAATGTCATCATTGGAGTATGATGGATGATTTTACATCATATGTCTGAAGTGGGACTTAGTTGTACAGATTGCATGCCTTCCTGCCTACAGGTTGTTGAGACTAGACAGAGTAGGCCGTATTCCAGTCTAGGGTCTGTAATAGACTTCATAGAGTTTGCATTATGATGGCCTCAGTAATAGGTACATAAGGCATTGTAAGTAAATATATTTGAGGAAAAATGCTAGAAGCTGTGAGACTATTTTATAAATGTGTTACACATGACTCTTCATGGTTGACTTGCTATTTTGTTAAAATAGGGAATTGTCTCAAAATTGAGTGAGCCTGATAGGGCCACTTTGGAGGTAGTGTGTTCCCTCCTTCTGTCTAATGTATGAAGGGCAGTGTTGTTTTTAAAGATCTGTGAGGTTGTGATGTCTTATGGTGTACAGATGTGGTGTGCGTGCGTGTGTGTGTATGTATGTATGTATGTGTTTCTGGTGTGTAGAATCGGCATCAGATGATTGGAAGTGTGCATTCAACTCTTCATTTATTCTGCTGTCATCCCTCTGCACTAGTGAAAACCATTTAGACGTGATTAAATGTGAATCATATTTATTTGCTCTTTTAAGAATTTTTGTACATTTTTGGACTTGTTTTAATATAAATGTGGTGTCTGTTTCTTTTTTTCTTGATGTTATTTTTAAGCAGATGTCTTTTACCTCAGTAGCATGGTGGTTTAAAAAAAAAAGACCTGTACGTTTCATTTTTAAGTGACGTTTACAAGTTCTTATCTGACTGACATAGATTATTTTGGAAATGGAACGGAATATTTTCTATACTGTACATTTCTTAGAAATAAATAACTTTTCTTGAACAAGACTTTGTTTTATGTAACTACAACGGCAGATCAGTGCATTTTTCCCCCCTTCATTTGACCTGAAACTTGCAACAGTCTTTTTTAACTACTACTGCTGTGAACAGACTGGGGCCGTGCGATTCCATAGTAATGTGGCATGTATCTATAATCCGTTAAAGAAACTGAAAGGCTACAAGTAATGAAATGCAAACAGCCAAACCAGAGGGCCAAAGCAAGACAATGCATTAATCTACTGCAGTGGCTCACACCATCGCCTTCAATTAGTGCCTATCCTCTTGACGAACACCCTCCACAGAACGTATGCTGCTTCCTCTGACCCTTCTCATGTCTGCAGGAGTCAGTGATGTGATGTGACGTCAGTGGAGGAAGAAGCACCACGGCTCCTCAGTCCTCCTTCAAGGGGCTCCTTGTAAGCTAACAAGTAATATATTCTTTTGTTCACGCCTAATGAGGACACAATTGGCAGTAGAAAATGCAAATGAGGCATGTAATTAAGGCACTTTAATTGAGCCTAATTACGCAAGTTGTAGAACTAAACTGAATGGGGGGAAAAATAGGACAAAATAGAAAGGTAAATAGACAAATTTAACTTTAATAAATATATATTTTTTTATGCAGCTTTCATATTGTACTCTTGTTTGTTAATGTTATAAGAAACTTCGTTTTCTTTGGAAAAAAAACAAGTAACACTGACTTCTTGTTCATTATCCCATCTAAAATATTTAATGCCTGCTGATATGAATTGGTTTTTATTAAGATCTAGATTTTAATAGGTCCTTCATGACTGGAACACAGAATAGTGTTTTTAACAACAGGTAGTGTCTCAGTTTCATCAGTGACTGGGTGAAGGGAAATATTTGCTCTGCTTTACATGGAATGGATCATGCTTTATCTGGTTTAATACTTGTACATGTCTTAAATAGAAGGATGCTTAATTAATTAGTTCATAATTGTAGCATGCAATGCATTTAATTTTTTGAAAATTATTCCTATAGCTCAGTATTTTTATTTTTATTTTAGTTGTATTAATTGATAAATGCATGAGTGTGTCCTTGCCTAAAAACAAACCACGGGTTTTCTAGGATAGAGAGCTGTGCAGTGAACTTTTTTCACTGATCTCTGTCTTGCCGATCTTTGTTTTTAATGCCACAATCCACCAATCAGCTTATCACCAGGGTTCAGCTTCAGCCAATCATAGCGAAGGGGGCGGGGCTTGGGTGCACAATAACAAAGTGGGCTCCCTGAGAGGCTTAAAACTGGGAAGTAAACACTGAAAATACTGACAAGGCAGACCACCGTTGTAACCCTTTAGCGCTATTCATTTGTTAGCTTTTTTGTTTTCATGACACTATCGTTACACAGTGAGCTATTTGACTAAAGCATACACGTATTTACAGCTGAAACCGTTTAGCAAGTTTTGGCGTGGTCTGCTGTCTAACAGTCCGCTAGACTGTTTTCAAAATCGCCGTCGCCAGCTGTCGATACTGCATAACGTGCTCTTACTGTTAAAATACAGTGTTTCACACTCAGCAGACGCCACGAAGCTAAGGGTAAAGGTAACGTTTCTTTGGCCGGTTTTGTTGTGTCGAAGTCTGTTTAGCGTCTTTAGGAGGAAGTAAGACAACAACGCTCTTCCTCACAATAATGACCTGTAGTTAACAAGGCAAGGCCACTATTCTTGTTTTTATTCATTTTCATTTTACTCCAGTTCTACTCACCGGTCATACCCGTCTTAACGTCTTTATATCACTATATCCCTTCTATACAGGTGTATGTAAAAATTGTATAAATAGAACAACAGACGACAAACACCTGGCGTCTTTTTACTCTATTCCAGCTAATGTTGGAGGTTGAATGATTATTTTTACCCCAGCTAGTGTCGAGCAGGTGTTTTCGGTTCTCTTAACGAGCCTTCCTGTTTTCTCTGTTGGGTTTTGGCGATAAACCCTTGTAATGTTTTCTCTTATATCCAGCTTCTTACACTCTGTGGACCATGGCAGTCGAGCTCCAGTGCCCCCAGGCGGCTGTGGCCTGTCTGTTCCTCTTGCAGTGCTTGACCGGTGGCCTGTCCATCCCAGACCCCAGACAAAGAGAGGCCCTTATAAAGCTCGAGATCTCCATGCAGACAGGTGGGCAGCTGGTTTTGACTGATGCGGAACAGCGGCTGGACTCTGTGCTGTTTAAAATGAAACAGAAGGAGATAGTTGGACCAGACTGCCCTCCTGCCATGCACTTCTTCAAGGCCAGACACCTCATCAAGACCAGTCCCATCTTCAGCCTGCTGCAGAAGATGCCCAAAGGTGTGTTCAGTCTCACACCTCACCACTCTTGTGCCATTGTATTTGTATAGTGTTGGTTGTTTGGTTGTGAACTGTGGGTTACAACGACTATATTCTTGAATTGCTTATGAAAACTTTTGGCCTTCATCATTTGCCACAACATTTTAGCTGCCACAGATACATCAGGATTTTAACATAATGACCTGGCCCTAATGGCAACCTCTGAGAACATTAGGCGTTATTTACAAAACTAAAAATTATCTGGTCTAACTATCAGATAGCAAAAGAAATGTGTCTTTACAGGCTGAAACAATTAATCAATTAAGTTGATCGACAGAAAAAAAATTGGCAACTATACTGATAATCAATTAATTCCTAGTTAAATTCCTAAATCCCTAGTTATAGCTGCTCAATAGAGAAGATTAGCCTATCTTTCCTTTATGTCATTGTAAACTGAATGTTTGTTTTGGACATTTGAAGATGTCACTTTGGACTCTGGGATGAACATGTTTCACCATTGCTTGACATTTTAAGTTAAGCAATGAATTAATTTAGACATAATTTAGACAATTATCATCATTAGATGAATCGATCTCTTGCTAGTGACACACTGACCTACTTTCATATTGTTCTCAGAAGATGCTGGAATCACAAAATTTGGAATTCCCCATTCAGGACATACAGTAAACACAAACTTTTAATTAATACAGAAAATTTGCACTGGGTATCCCAGTTCTTTATATCTTAATAATTCTATAATTCACTGTTTCAGGGGGAGCTCTCCATGTCCACGACTTTTCCATGGTTAATGTAGAGTGGCTGGTAAAGAATGTGACCTATCGACCCCACTGCTACATGTGCTTCACTGACAGTCAGTCCATCAGGTTCATCTTCTCGTCTCAATGGCCCAAACCTCTGCCACATTGCTCTCCCTGGATCCTGCTGGAAAACCTCAGGGCCAAGATGATCAACACTACAGATCTAGACAACAGGTAACTTACTCTTTGATGCAGTTCAGAGTACAAAGATTTTTCTAGAGTTATCATAGAATAAAGACAACCCACAAGGCACTGTATGTTTTTATCTTGTGTAATAACACCCAGACAAATTTATTCTTTGAAGCTCCATATTGGAATATATTTGTTTTTGTCTGCATTTGTATCAGGACGTGTTTTCCTGGATTCTGAAGAAGTCATTTGATGCTACCAAGGCCTTTTATATAATTTATCATTTCCTGTTCCATATTTATATCTTGTTGTCAGAACTGAGTGGCTTTAAATCAGTGTATCATTGCATCCTGCTTCTACTGTCAGTTTACCTGAAACCAACAGGAAATAACATTTTGAACACATGCCTCTTTTTATAATGACATTAATTGTCATTTGTTTGCCAGTTTAATTTTGTCATTACTCCCTTAATGTGATTTATTTCCTTTTGAAGAAAGATTTTGGTACAGGATATCAAAAAGAGGGGTTTTCAGTGTAAACAGCTGGGCTATTACTTATGAAAAGAAATGCAGTTTGATTTGATAGGACAGGCAAAATGTGGGATTATCAAAACATTTTTTGCTGATTTTATTGTTTTATTTTTTAGTTAAACTCTTCATGAGGTCACCACTGCAGCCGCACTGTCTTCTAAGAAATAGTATTTCTCTAGAAAGCTGGAGCCCATCTACTCAGAAATGTTAAGAAATACAATCTTTGGCAGTGGTAAATGGACCCAACATGACACTGGTAATCTGATCTCAACCTCTGTCTTCATATTTACACATTCAGCATCATGGGCAACCTGACGCTCTTCACTGATCAGGATCCAGAAACAGTGTATCCCAGTCAGGATGTGGTATGGGACAGGTTTGAACAGTCCTTCCTTGCAGTGTGGGGTCTGGTCACATATGCTCCCGTGTTCAGAGACTATTACTACCAAGGCCTCACAGAGTTCTACATGGACAACATCATGTATTTGGAACTACGAGCTTTACTCCCAGAGGTAAACTAATGCCTTGCCTGGTGCATTTGGTGCACTCACCTGTCAGTTAATTGGGGGTCTAACCCAGAAGGGGTTGGCCCAATAATTGGAAATGGTGTGCATGTGCTTCCCAAGAAATATGAGCCCAATCTGCCACATGGGGGTGCTGTAATTGCTTTTATTTTGAAACTGAGCTTTTTCTTCTGTTTTTTGAGAATGGAAGCCCTGCTTTCATATACACAAAGTTAAGTCCAGATATTTGTGGAATTTATCTTAAATCATTACTTTTTCATTGGTAGACTAACGAATGGGTATACAGTAAGTTATAATGGAAACAGTGTCATTAGATGGATGTGTCACAACCTAATCTTTGAAAATTACTATAGTGTCATTCACCTTTCATATTGATGATTGGTGATGATTTGCAGACACAATAGAGTTTAATTTTGTCACAATGAAGAATATGGAGACCACTGTTGACTGGTAATGCTTGACAGTTATAGTTTTACTTTTTCCAGTAATGAATAGTATAATTAATTACTATTTAAATCCCAGTAATAAGCACAAAAGGGTTAGAACCCGCAAATTGCCGCTTGCAGGTATATTTTATCATTGTTTTTAAGTTTGTTTTTCTTTTTGGTACTCAGATATATGAATTGGACGGCAGCACTCATGACACAGCCTGGACTCTGAAGACCTACCAGGAGGTCACTAGGCAGTTCACAACAGACCACCCAGACTTCTATGGAGCAAGAATAATCTTCACAGTCCATAGGTGACTGCTCAGAATGCCTTTCAAATGAATTTTACATATTATCCTGAACTGTGTACTGCTTGCTGGCTCACTAGCAGAGATCAGAGGATATTGATATGATCACTGATCACACTAATACACTGTGTGCTTCAGGGGAGTAAATATATCCACGATGACTGGAGCTGTGGAGAAGGCTATGAAGCTTCAGAGAGACTTCCCAGATATCATGGCTGGTTTTGACCTGGTGAGAGGCAAACAAGAGTTATTGTATGAATAGTATTAAGAAGCAGCAGTAAGAGTGGGCAAAGTTTGTACTGTTTTTTAATTTCACTAGTAACAACCATTTTAAATTACTTAAGACAAAAATTGCTGAAACACTATTTAAACATGGCTGATATAATTTATGTTCACTCTGCATATACAGGTGGGCCGCGAGGACACAGGCAGACCCCTGTGGTACTTCAGAGATGCCTTGTCCCTGCCAGTAGAGAGAGGGGTCACACTTCCTTTCTTTTTCCATGCTGGAGAGACCGGTGAGCTCGAGTGCCCGATGTGTGCAGTAACTTCATATAGTAGTGTGTAGCTCAGAAATGAATCTCGATGCCAGTGCAAAAACATAATAACATAATTAATGTTCTTTTCTGTGTAAATCTTATGCATAATTTTAAACATATGTCTTTTAAAGACACATTTTCAACGATCAAAAATGTTGGAATGGAGAAGTACAAGCTTCATTTTAGTGTTTGAATGTTTTATTTATCACACACTCAAAGAATACATTTTGTTTTTAGGATTACCATGACAAGTTTTACAGTTAAATATACTAATTAAATGCTTAAACCTGAAAAAAAAGTGAGACAGTTACAGGGCAATTCATGTATTTTCACATTGTTGTGACAGTGTTATAGCCCTAAATCAAAACTAAGGTATCATGCAAACCAACTCACAAGTGTTATATCTGTTAGAGAAGTGACAGGTTCTTTTTGTCCTAACCCTAAACCAAAGAGATGAAGTTTTCACCAAGTGGAGAGCCAGTATAAGACACTCAAGAACCATAAATCTCTATTTATAATAACATCCACAGAATAATGTGTTTTTTGTTGTGTTTCCATTACATGCAGATCTTGAGGGCACAGAGGTCGACCAGAACTTGTTGGATGCTCTTTTGTTTAACACCTCTCGCATTGGACATGGATTTGCTCTGCTTCGCCACCCAGTGGCCAAAGATCTATACAGGAGGAGAGACGTGGCTGCGGAAGTTTGCCCCATCTCCAACCAGGTACACTTCCAACTTGTGAATGACACTCTACAATAAAAATACTTCTCCAGCTACTAGTGTGTTATTTAATGTAATTTAATTGACATTGCATCTTACAAACAAGTAACTCCTTTCGTGTCCTCATTCAGGTGCTGATGCTGGTAAATGATTTGCGAAACCATCCAGCAGCTGCTCTGATGTCAGAGAACCACCCAATGGTCATCAGTTCTGATGACCCTGCCATGTTTGGTACCTCTGGCCTCTCTTATGACTTCTATGAAGTTTTTGTGGGCTTTGGTGGCCTTAGATCCAATGTAGGCTCCCTCAAAGAGTTGGCCACGAACTCTATTAGGTGAGGTTTAGCTGAGATGTGATTTACAAATTTACATATTGGCCAAAGTTTTCAGCTAACTGCTCTCTGACATTTCCCTGTCTATGTTTCAGGTACAGTTCTTTGACTCCAAAGCAACAGGAGGAAGCCTTAGCTCTGTGGCAGAGAAGATGGGATAGGTTTGTCTCTGAAAATGCCTTTTAGAAAGAAAACTAGTGTTTTTAAAAACATTGTCTGCAGGGCAATCTTCATGCTTGACTTCATGTTTCCTTTGAGAAGGAAATGCCTTTCGGCGTTGGTGAATTAAAAATGGAAAATGAATACAATACTGCACAGGTGAGCAGGTTTGTGGTAGGAACAAAAATCTGACAACAAATACATTTCATGTCACAGTAGGAAAAACACAGAATAGAATTAATGATGATTTGGCCAGTGTGAAACAAACCTAGATTTTGTCCCATAAGTATTAGGGCTATTACTTGAACTACACAAATGAAATAGCTTTTATCAAAGGCATCTTATTATGTCTGGTTTAATAAAGAATTTTCAATGTATTTGCACTTTAAGATTCAGGTTTGCCTCGGCTTTTGGGGGACAGTAACAGTTCCAGAGGGCATTGTTAACTGGATGAGGTGCTTAATGCTGTTTAATTTGTCCTTGTGTGTTTGTGGTTTGATTTGTAAGAGTGTAATAGGTTGCCTGTTGAAATGGATGTTAAATGATGTGGGCCTTGGAAAAATATTCTTGAAGGACACTGATTTTTTCTTTTTTACATTGTTTTATAGGGTTTTTATTTGGATTTATTTTTGAAGCAATAGCAAAAGATTGATATGAACAACTGTCAGCATCATCCAGACATATTTGAATGTTGTGAAGTGTCCAAATTAACTTGACATAATTAAAAACAACTACTGATTGACTGTTGCTCAGTTTATTCTGTGTTCTTGTCATGTAGCACCGTTGTTAATACTTATCCACTGAGCGAGTCATCAGTGCAGTGTGTCATCCGTCATCTGCTGCAGGTGTTGAATTTGGAGAAGAAGTTGTCATCAATGCATCCTCTTTCAATGTCTGGTTTCCTTGAAATTAAATGAGTTTAAAAAAACAGTGAGATATACAGTGGATATACTCTGTAGAATTTAATGAAACAGTTCATGTCTTATAAATGCTACTGACAGCTGTTTGTGTGTTTCGGCCAGTTTGATGTTGGTGCTGTCCAGGTGTCGTCTCATCTGCTTGTTCAGTTTTGCCTGCTGCCTCTCTATAAGCAGAGCCGTACGAGCCGAGGCCAAGCGAACGTGATCATGCAGCGTCTCTTCTTGCTTCTTCTCTAATTCTATCCTCTACAGATGCACAGACAGGCGACCAGTGAAACAGGTTCGTACGGACTGCTTTTCTTAAATGATCAAAAAAGAGCTTTGTTCCTGTTTTACCTTTCTCTCCTCTATTTGGTATTTCTGGAACTGGATGACCTGCTGCAGGCTCTCCGGAGGGGCTCTCCTATACCTGCTGGGAAAGAGACTTGCTGCTCCCACCATGTCCAGGGTGGGTTTGACATCTACACCTTTCAGCTGTCCTTCCGGTTGGTTTGATTTGTCTGCTCTGTTCTGCTCCTGACGACGCTTCTCTTCAGTCTTTGCCCAAACAAATCCAGCGAGAAGGTGAGAGTGATAGAGGGTGTCAGTTCTCTCGATTCTTAGTTTAAACTTAAAAAACGTAATATAGTTTAACACCACATAACATAAACACAAAAACATGCATTGGTGGAAGTTATGAAGTTATTCAGTACATCCATGTTTTCAAAGCAAGTTTTGCCACCTTCATCTGACCATCAGCAAATACGGGAATGACTTACCTTGGCCAGATTATACTCTTTGGTGGCAATGGCTTCTGCTTTTCTCCTCTTCATCTCAAGGCTCTGAAGCTGCAGAGCTTTGTTGTCCATCTCTACTCTGCTTTGGTCATAGTGCTGCTCTGAAGTGCAGTAGAGAGGGTAAAAGTGAGCTTATGTTTTGTGTGCATGAACTGAGGTTGCATATACTGTATGAGATGAGACAAACCTACCTTCCAACTTTTGTTGATGCCTTTCTGCTGCGCGCTCACTCTGCTGCTGGATGAGCCACTCTCTGAGCTGCTCCCTCTGCCTCTGCACTCTGTTTTTACTATCTGGGTCCTCGCCCACTAGGCCTGGGGGCATCATCTGTGCATCGTCCTTGTCTGTTTTTCTACAGCGGTCTGGGTCGTTCAGATCATACTCCCGCTGGCACCAAGGCTGCTGGTACTGATGGCGGTAGTTGACAATGGCCTTTTCCATGGCATGCTTCTCCTTCACTTCCCTGCTATGGAGAATGCAAGCTACTTTGCTATTATGGCGCAAATCAGCATCTATAGAGAGATAAAACACGACCCCACACACAGACATCACAAAGCATTTCATTAGAAATTATGAATGTCCAAAAGTATAAGTGGCAAGGCATGTCTATAGGGATGTCCAAAATAAGAACCTCCTTTTGGTATTAAATACTGTTTTCTATCAGTAAGTGATAGGACTTTAATCGTGTGACCTCTGTTCTTAACTGCTATTGTTTTTCTCTGTGATTAAATGTGCTCATAGAACACAAGATGCTTTCCAATAAAAAAAAAAACAAAAAAACAATGAAGTCAGTTAACACCAGGGAGCGACCTTTAACTCACCGCATGCGTTTTGTTTCTCCTTTTCTGCCTCTTCTCGTTTCTTCCTCTCTTTCACCTGCATATCCAGGGCTTCCTTGTCAACCTGTAAAACAGCAGCAGAAATGCAAACACACGTTTTTACATCAGAACTATGCTACATGTTAGCATCCTTTGCTAGAGTCACAGTCAGTTGGAGTGCGGAATAATTAGCCACTTACCCCGATGGTCCTGACTTTGTCATTAAAAATCCGCTCTTGTCGTTCAGTCTCCCCGTCGCGACGCTTCTGCAGACTCGCCCTCGCCATGCGGTCACACAGTAATTCAACATTAAGCATTTTGACGGACAAACTGTAGTTTAATTATGCGTTAATCTTTGCGTTAAAACCAGCCGCAGTTCTTTGTGAGAGAGACGACAAACTTGAATCGCAAACACACTGGTTGCCAAGAAACGTATCGTGAGTCCTCGTAGAATGTCGGCTTTTTCCGCGGTTTTTGACGTGACGTCGCACTCGCATTTATCATTCGTTGGTGGATTACCTTCATTTTTTTCAGTAAAAGCTTTAATAGTGGCTATTTGTTATTGTGTTACTGAAAGAAAGAAAGAAAGAAAGAAAGAAAGAAAGAAAGAAAGAAAGAAAGAAAGAAAGAAAGAAAGAAAGAAAGAAAGAAAGAAAGAAAGAAAGAAAGAAAGAAAGAGCATCCTTTAAATTTGGTTATTAAAGAATTGTGACCATTATATGTCGTGAGCAGGACATTATACATTTGGAAAAGAGACTTGCCAGTGGTCTCTAGTGGGCAAACAATGTAATGGCAACACAGTCTCTAAGTTACCTCATTTGTATTTTTATTCTTATCTGTATGTTTGGCATTTCTCCAGTGCAACTGCTTGTTATTTTTGGATGTAATTATAAAGAATGAAACTGGTTGTATAAAATCTGATGTATTTGTCATGCTCTAAGCTCAAGATTGTCCTGATTGTGTTCGTATATGGTAATGATCATGATGATTTTGGTAAACCCCTGATTTTACAAGTACCTCCACAGTAAATTGACAATTTACAGTTTTATTTACAGTGCACTTTTTTTTGCACTTTGGTAAATTATAATGAAACTAGACCATGTTCATGTTCTCAATTTGACAAACTCTTGTGAGGTACATGGTCCCATTTTAGCCCCATTACTGGCTTGAGGAATAACAAAATTATCCTACAAAGTCCACAGCTGTTTTTTCCGAACTGACTCTATTGGATAAAAAAATCAATACAGGATATTAAGTCATTGTTTCCTTAGCTGCAGCACAGCTCTTGCTCTTTTGATGAAGATTCACAACCAGATCATTAAGGTTATCAAAATGCTCCTGCATGTTGCCCTTCATCCTCAGGCAACGTGATTCTCTGAGCTGTTGGAAAAGATGGCGTCGTTTGCCTGACCTTCCTCTGATAAAGCTGATCACACAGACTTTTCCGTTCACCACTAAGTTTTGAAAAAGCACACTGATGGATGTGAAGGGGCAATTTATCTAAGCAACGATTTGCACAGAGCTTCGCAAGAATGACCTTATACAATGCACATCTGTCAGTGGAACGATCTGCCACTCTGTCCATTGCTTTGTCGTAAGCCATCTTTTTTTTTTTTTACCAAGCACACATCTTTTAACACTTCTGCATCTGTGAAAGGCATGTTATTTACACTCAGTATGAGGAAGCATCTCTGAGCTTTTAGATATGCCAGTTCTACTGGCTGTGGTTCAGCCGGTAGAACCAGTGGTGTTGGTGGTGTTTCTCCATTTCTTGGTCAGACTAGTGCGGACTAGAGAGACCAATACATGATGAACTGATGAAGCCGCTTGGATAAGAGGCGAAACGTCTTCCACAGACAAATACAAGTCCAGTTGCCTTCGATTTAATTTAAGAGAGAGAAAACCAGTGGTGTTGGTTTAATTCACCCTAAAGCTCTGAATAAATGCAGCCATTTACAATTGTGAATTCTATTTGACTAGTGTATTATCTAATGGAAGGCCGCATAGGCCTGTTGCAGCAGATGAGGTTTACGTCAGAACTTCATTTAATAAAAAAAAAAAAAAAAAGAATTCAAACATCAACTCAATTTAAAAAATCCATTTTATTTTCAAATTCCAAAAGAAAATTTCAATATTTGAAAAATATAAAAAGAAAAAAAAAAGGCAGCAACCGTGTTGTCCTCCACTGAGCAGTGCTCAAAATAAAAGGACTTGTGGCCAGACCTAACAGCCAACCACCAAGGCAAGTAAATTCATAAATTAAGTCCCGAATAAGGCTGTCCCTTTACTCGACACTACTAGAGGTGTCAAGGATCTCCAGGAGTGATTAAGGCTATAGGTTATTTTAGTGCAAAAAACTCTGATAAAACACCAAGATCCTATATACACTCAATAATTATATAATACACAGTATAGTATTCATTCACATGTACATAGTGCCTCAAAAGGTACTATCAATTCTGCATAAGTGGGACCTTCATTTTCCATTGACACTAGGACACCGTTATAACAACCATCCACACCACACACACCATAATTATGTGACATTTCCAAAAGAAAAAATCAAAATCAAAGAGACAGCACAAAAAACAATACATAGGTTTTTTAGATACCTGAATACATTTTGCATACAAATGATTCAATGACAAAGCACAGTTGTGTTTTTTTTTTTCAAAACATTAGTCCTCTGTACAAGATAAACCCATCAGTTATTAGATCTCTTGCTGCGATTTTTAGAACAAAACCGCCTTTCTCTGCATGAAAGCTTCTTCCTTAACAGTCCGTAATGCACAGTACTGTAAAAATAGATTACTAAAACTAAGATTTATATTTTGAAACCTGATATTCACCCAACAGCACCTAAAGTAATCTGTAAAAATGATGAGTTAGCATTTGTTGCATTAATTGTTACAGAACTAAAACCTGTGAATTACATTTCATTTGTCGGTCAGCTTACACTGAATGCTGCATCACAGGCTTTGATGTGAAGAATGTCTAAAAATTGTACTAACATTTATTCTTGGATAGTTAGATATTTGGTGTCCTTGAGCTGAAAGATTAAATGACTGAAAAAGGATTAATTAATGATAGTGGGTATGTCCCTTTATAAACAGGATGAGGTAAGGTGCTGTGTGCAAAGTATGAATATTATGAGCAAGAGTTATGACTGCTCATCACAGCATCAACTTCAAAAAAGGAGTGAGTTTGTATCCAAGAGTCAGAGCAATCAAATTTGCAAGATGAAAATGAATGAGATAACTGGTTGATACAAAGTATTACTGTCCTGGATTATTTTAGTTATGTAAGAGTAAAGCGGGAGACGACGAGTACGAGTACGAGTAAGAGTAGCAGTCCCCTGGACTTTGTTATTTCCGTGTCATTAGACAATCATATAACAATGAACCTTGTTTTTTTACACTACTAATCTGATCAGCAGAGCTGGTAAAACACACAGACACATTTAATCATTAGTCATAATTTTGGATCCAAAAACACGAAGGAAGACCCAAACAATATGGGATTTGCTCACTGATCTCAGTTTTGCTATTGTAAATTGAAACCTTTGGTATTTTTCACAGTCACCTAGAATAAAAAGGAAGTAACATCATTTTGAACTTTTTTAATAACTTCAAAAAAATAGTTATCATATTGACGAATAGAGAAAATTATTATTTATAGCCTCAATGCCGGCACATGATGTTTAGCAATAACTTACAAAATTCTGTTTTTAGGGAAAAGTCAGTAAATTTCACTTAAGATTAACAAAATCAATTACTTTTTCAATCCCAAATAAGAGAACATTTAAATGATTACAAGAGTCATAATGGTAGCCACATTTCATTGACTGTCTTTTAGATTTTCAGATATTATTATCCACTGACCTATGAGCAGAGAAGCGCACTTATTGTTGGCCACACAGACAAGTTAAAAGGCTTTGATTATGTTTTGGATTTCCCATCTCTGGCCAGAGCATTCTTGTATTAGAAGTCTGCCATCTTTAATCTCCAGACATCTTTGTGTTTGTCTGTTTTTCAGTTCTTTGCCCTGGAAAAGAGAATAAATGTCAAGAACACTGATGTACAGTATTTAATCATATAGTATTCAGGCAACCACAGTTAAATATATTAAGTTATATGAGTCACCCTAAACTCATCCTGCCATGCTGTGCCTCACTCTCACCCACTTAGTTGACTATTTTATTGACATTGATATTCATAGTGTAATATCTTCTGTAATATTCATGTGCTTGTCTGAATAATAGCTTATCTTGCAGTACCTGAGTGAAGTCCCAGTATATCCCCATTCCTTTCTGCATAGCTTCTTTGCAGTTGTAAAGGCCAGGCTCAGTTTCTTTTTTGCCAACATCAGTCAAACACCGGTTGTCATTGTACTTGTGGGACTTGATGCCACCGATGTAGAGCTCACCATTTGCGCGGTAGTATGTGAACTAAAAAGAGAAAATGGTCAGAAAGCAGACAATTAAATAAGACGACGACGACGACGACGACGACAGAGAGAATAGATCACCGATTACAGATACCCCGTAGCTGTTTCACTTACTTGAGGTCCATAGTAGTAGCAGGCGAAGGCAATGGGTGTGTGACCTGGCACTGGGCCTTGGTCTAAGCACATGTTAGCATCAAGATTCTTCATCTGACAGTGGTGGAATTCACATTTTGTCAGTGCAACTTTATCAAACATTACGACAGTTGGTGGTAAATCATGAAAACTCACAAGCATTGCATAAAACTAAACTTACCCCTCCATAGGCAAGTAGGTTGTCCCAGGGATCCAACTTGGGATACACATTTTCCAGGTACCATTTGAAAGGTTTACAGTTCAACCTCTCTCTGAGTTTTTTCCTTTCAGTTATATCCCCAATGTCAATTCCGTGGTTCTATAAAAGCAAAAGGCATGATTTGTTTGTGATATTTTAACTGCAAAAATTTTAATTACATCCTCTTAGTTTAAATGCTAAAAGACATCCTGTGCACTCATAACTGCATAAATTTTTCTGAGAAATTCTTTTAATCATGAACTTTTGAATATTTATCTTGCATCGAGCGCAGTATGGCATTTTGAAGTACCTCAAATGGCAAGTTCCAAGCCAGATTGATGTTGTGTTTGTATTCATCCATCCAGACTTCTGCTACCCTCAGAGCGTTTCTCTTCATGGCCGGGGACAGATCCGGCAGGTAGGGCTTGTGGTACCTCTCAATGTGGGCGATCTTGGAGCATGGAACTACTTCAACACTGCCTCCACATGTCCACACCTGTAAAAGAAAAAAACATTTTAAACTATCCAACAAAATGTAATCTTATGACTCTGCAAATGCAAAGCATGAGTAAAAACATGAGTTAAGACTAGCTACATAATCTGCCACTTTATATATGCATTTAAAATATTGTTTGTTGGAATCCATCTTCCTAAAAAAGTGAGTAGGCTAAGTTAACAACAACAACAATAGTAATAACTAGAAAATTCTAGGGAAATTTTGAGTGCCACGGGGGCTACTGCCGGGATGAGTACATGATTTATTTCCAGTGTTCAAAAGTCACCCTGATCATATTCTGGTTTTGAGAAATGTCTTGATATAAAAGACTCTGATATAAAACAATGTCACATCCCTCCATCATGTATTATGAGGGAAATAGCTCATATTCTGTGTTGTTTTTTTTAATAAAACAAGAGGCAACATGTCTTCAAACTGGCATTTAAAGGGTTAAAATCCTGAAAACTAATAAACATTTGGTAGGTTTGATTAGAACTGAAGTGGTTTAAGAGATGTATGCAAAAAAAGCAGAAAAAAATATTGATATATGATGATTTTATAGCATTTGCTTTGTGTGTCCTTTTTTGGACGCAAGGAACCCCAGAGGGTACAAAATGTGTTACCAGTGTATAATAGACCTGTAACAGTAACTGACATTAGATTTTAAAAATATGTCAAAAAAGACACTTTCTTGCAGATATCCATACCTTCAGCTGTAACACAGCCAAAATGATCAGCAAATCAAAAAAGAAAAGTGAAGAAAATGTCCAAAAAAGGACAGAGGGACCCCTGAGGGTTAATAAATCCCCTGAACCGCTATTTAAATTACCACTATTATGTTTTTTTCAGTGCTAAATTTAACATTACTGGGGAGGAGAGCAACGCGACTAGAAGTGACAGCGAGAGAGGGCTAGTAGCTTCTTCTCTCCTCTGTCTCAGCGGAGACCGTCACAACTTCATTCACTCATTTAACAAAACAAAAAGAAAAGCAACAAAGGAAGCAGTAAATGGACTTACATATTTAAGACCTAACTAAATGTAATTTAAGACCTAACATGCGGCTAATGTAAAGCTAGCGGAGCTTGGAGAGTTGGTTATCTGGTTGCTAGGCACGCACACACGCACACAGGTCAGGAGCTGCCGTTGCCATGGCAATGTGAAAATCTGCCCAGAATTTGGCTTCTACATGGCTTAAAACAATTGCAAATTATGAGAAAACCGTTACTTCTTTTCAAAAACCGAAAACACCGTGACAGACACTGAAGCCAGAAGTTTCTTACAGTCTCTATTTTATTCAGATATTCCTTAAAATTAGTGAGTAAGCTCAGTGCGAAGACAGAGTGAGATTCTTTTGAAAAAAAAAGAAGATTACATTAGTGTCAATGAGAGTGAGACAGGTATTGCTGCCGGACTCGGCACCCCCATTTAAATTTTGTGCAGACCCTGCCTGTCAAAGTTACATTTTATGAATTCCAACAACTATGTCTACATTTTCAGACAGAATTATTTGTCTCCTTTTTACGGTTTGGCCGTGAGCTCGAGTTAAAAATAAAAATAAAGGTTATTTTTTACTGCTTCACGCACTCTAGCCAACTGACGCTGTCACTCTAACTTTGAAGAAAAAGTGATTTCTACTCCTCCTTTGAGTGCTCATAGTTTGAAAAGTTTACATGTTATGTAAAATCAGTTGTTTTGTTCAGTTGTTTTGGAGAGAGCAGAAGTTTCCCTCCGTTTTATAGTTTGAATCACATTTCTATGTGCAGGTATGAGAGAGCTGGGTGACTCTGGGTGAAAAAAGGTGAAATTTTGTGGGTTTTTAAAGAAAATCCCAATGCATTCCTAATGCATTATTTATTTCCAGTATTTTGGGAATAACTGGGAAAAATTGGAATTTTAACACCAAAAGTCATGGCACCTCTTTCAGGATCAAGACGCACGTTTTGATGTATATATTACCGGGGTTTTCTCAAAGCTGTGGGACGAGTTACGCGCCAAAATTTGGCGGAAGAATAATAATAAGCCCGAAGGAATATTAATAGATGCCTCCTCTACAGCTATTCTAGCTATTCTAGCTGTAGAGGAGTGCCTCGGAGCTGAGCACCCATGGCACTAATGATTGAAACCACAACATATCGTTACCTGTCCTTAACTTAATTTAACTTAACTTAACTGGCTTCTAACTGTAGCTTTATAATTAGCATACAGACATGAGATTGGTATCGATCTTATTATTTTATTCTTGGCAAGAAAGTGAATAAGCATACTTCCAAAAATGTCAACCTATTTCTCTAAGGAAAATGATAAGTCCCCCATTTTGTTTTGTCACAGAGTATGGCTCTAAAAGCTAATGCAAACCCTGGTTTGAGACGCATGAGAGCAACAAGCTGACTGAGCTGGCAGAGAGCAGTTAAGTCCTTTTACACTGTGAGTATGTCCATGACAGTGAGATTATAATCATACATCAGAAGGTCAGCTTCTCCTTCTCTGTCTTATAGTGTGAATATCCAAGTGGCACTCTGCATTGAATTAGGCACCACTGGATCACAGAATGAGAGAGAGAATGAGACAGAAGCTGATAACTTAAGACTGGTCAGTATGAGACCGAACTGATCTGCTTGTGAGAGTTACTATTGCAGTAAGTCACAACACCTTATTTTTTGTGTGCTTTTACTTCTCAGTGAGTACTACTAAAGTGACAATAGGCCCACCGTTCAGTGGTACGACTCTATCCACCATGATGCTAGAAGATGTATTAACCATGTTTTGGTTGTTTTATATGTGCATTAGGCGACATGGCACATGCCCCCCCCCCGAGACGAGATACAACAGAATCCAGGAAGGTCTGTTTGAGTAATCAGATGGCAACACTTCGAAGCTCTTTGCAACACAAGATCTTACACCTCTGGAGAGGGATTACAGCAACAATCATTTTATCCTCTGTCTCAACAATTATGCTCTTTCTTGCTGCAACTAGGATTGTGTCGTCAGGTGTAGGATTTGGTGTTAGGCAGGTATAGTTTACTCACACGAATTCCCAGCTCAACATTTTCTCCACCGTACACTTTCATTCCTTCATCGAGGAGTCCAATTTCCCCTAGAAATTTCCTTTCAGCAACTAGGATTCCCATGACTGATGGACTCCTGAAGTGAAAGATGAAAACTGTTACTACTGGGCAATTTAAAAACATCTTTTTTATGTAATATACCACTATCACTAGGAAGTGAAATTATGGAATCATAACGAATTATCCAAGATGTGGAAATCAAGAACATTGGGTTATGCTGGTTTCACATGTAATTAAAACAAGATTGATCGACCTCACTTCAACTTACTTCCCAGGCAGAGAGCTGTCTTTGAGGGTGTAATACTCGGGCGTAAAACTCTCATACATGCACCACAAAGCCCAGTCGAAGGCGTGTGCTGCTGGAAGGTACTGAATAACCTTGAGGTCATCGAAGTTGACTCTGTCAAACACGGGGGACACCACCACTGTTCGGTCGGCTTTGATCTGTGTCAGCAGGGGTTCAGCCCTACATGTAGGGAAGCGAAGAGGGACACACTTCTTTAACTTACGGCTCCACACAATAGGGTTTTTGTGAGTTCATCTCCAATGTGTCACTCTTTCACTGAGTAATTTCTAGTAGGGTTTCTGTGCAACATTACTGTAATTGGAATTACGGGTATTTGGAATGTGTTGTGGCCAAGTGCCAGCTCAGAGGGAGCGACCTACCTAAGAGATAATTCTTCTTAAAAATAGGCAGAGCATGACTTAACCTTTTTCTTTGGAAGGAACATCACTCACTTTTACACAACACAACTTAACATGGGTGCAGCATTTGAAAAGTCGACAGAGGTAAAAACACCTGTAGTATAAAGAACAACTTTATTGCCAACATGTTTTGGGTATGGGCCTTCATCAGGGAGCTTGATACTGAAAAATGTTTAATACTGAACATTATATTATTGTCAGTGCTGGTGATAAGCCTTAACATTTTAAGAAAAATCTCTTTAAAATGAACAATATACGGTATTTTAGTCATATACTTACCACATGTCATGGACCTCTATGTGTGCATCCAGGATGGCCACCACATCAGCGGTAGCAGCTCTCCACCCAGAGGCCCTGGCGTAGGCAAGACCTCGCTGCTCAGTGTGCCTCACTCTAGTAATACGGAGAGTTGGGTTCTCTTGCTCTAGAGACTTCACATACGCGTCAAGGTCCCCCTTCAGGTTTTCTGAATTGAAAGGACATTGTGGGCATTTATTTTGAGAATAGGCTTGACCAATTGTTTTTACTGATGCAAATATGGACTGTAGCCTGTGATATCACCTCATAGCTAGCCACAATGCAAAGCAGAGGCAAATCATGTTATACTCTCAAGAGCCACAGTTCTGATCACAGTGATGCGACACATGACTAATGTGGAGCCTCTGTATTACACAGAGGTTTGTGTCCTTAAAGAAATAATTTCACGTTTTTGGAAATATGCTTATTTGTTCTTTTGCCGAGAGAAAGATAACAAGATCAGTACCATTCTCATGTGTGTCTGGTAGATAAACACGTGGCTGTTTATGCCTCACTGAAACAATGCTGTTCTTCCAGATTGTTGAAAGTAAAGGTTTATTTATACCTGCATGCCAAGCTGTGAAAAGAGATGAATTCTTGCTTATTCCTCAAAGATTTCTAAAATGACCTGGACAAAATGATCGGCACCCCTTTGAAGTGGTGATAAATAACTTGATTGCTGTGATATTTCAAGCAGGATATTTCCTTCAATTAGTACCACAGACATCATTGCGCAGTTTTTTGTCATAGTGTGCACCACACAAAAAGGAGAAAAAAATATTTGCCAAACATGGTTAACACAAAGGCCACAAGACGATGTCCAAGCTGCTTGATGTTCCTGTGACCACAGTTGCTAATATTAAGACATTTAAGGTCCATGGAACTGTAGCCAACCTCCCTGGACGTGACCTCAAGAGGAAACTTTACTCCAGACTGAACAGAAGGACAGTTCGAATGGTGGAAAAAGAACCAAGGAAAACTTCAGAACAGATACAAGTTGACCTCCAAAGATCAAGGTGAAAAAACTCTGGAGATGGGAATATGAGTGTCGTGACATCTGCACAATGAAACATGTGTTGTCAACCTGTCTTTTCTCTCAATAGTCTGTGCAATAAACACAGTCAGTGTTTGCATAGTCTGATCCTTTGTATAACCAACCAACCATTAGAGCTATTGTCATCCACCATTATTATTTCCTTCAGTAGGTTTTTGGGGGTACGGTCGATGATGCTGCGCAGGGCTCTTTTGATGATGGACAGGGCTTCATTCAAGTAGATTAGCACCACTCCGACACTTGGCAGGTCTTTTGGATAAGTCTTTTTCACACATCTATTCAGAAACAGAATAATGTTTAATTAAAAGAACTGTCTTTTGCATTAGAAAGTTGTGAGGATAAAGTTGAAGGATATAAACAGCAAACAATTAACTGTTTCTATATGGAAGAGTTTCTTTCACTTTGCTCTGGGTATGACGTGTAATGACAAATCTGACATCTCAGGAAATGACTGACGGCTGTACCTTGGATCCCTGGTATCTGGAAGAGCTCGATCTAGAGGAAGGCGATCACTGAGAAAGACGTTGTATCCATACTTCTCGAACAGACCCTGCGCCTCTCTCTGGTCATCCTCAGACAGATTCTCACCCCACCCCTTGAACAGGGCAGAGTCAGGGTACAGTTTACCAGACTTTTTCGGTTTGGGTGGCTCCTTCTGTTCCTGGATCTTTGCTTCAGGCTGTTCTTTCTGCTCTGGCTGTTTCTGGGCAGGTGGCTGCTGTTGGACCTCTGCACCTTTTCTCTGTCTGTCTTCTTCAAGCATTTTCTGCATGACATCCTGCTTCTGTTCAAATGCTCGGAGTACATTGTCTTGAAAAATACGAGAGATCAAGGAGACAGGGGAGAGTAAAATGAGCCAGAAGCATGATCACTGTTTGCAAAAAAAAAAATACTAGACTAGGCATGAAATGGACGAGGAGGTTTTATTTGTTTAATCTAACCCTAACGAAAGTACTTCTACCAGCTAAATGTGTATTCAAGGCTGCATATAGTGTTATCTGTCAATTTATTGAATCAAATACTGCGTTTCCAGTGACATTTATGTTTGCGTCTTCTCATGACTGATTCTGTATAACATCATAAAATTGTATTCATTCCCAGAAGGAAATTAGGTGTTACATCCGTAAAAGTACGGAGTGACTGTGTGTGTGTGTGTGTGTGTGTGTATGTGTGTGTGTGTGTGTGTGTGTGTGTGTGTGTGTGCGTGTATATAAAACAAAATGCTTAGTCATTAAGTCTGTAAATGAGGGTATATATATATATATATATACACACACACACACACACACACCCTCATATACCACAGACTTTGACTATAAGCATTTAGCTTTCTCTAAATAAATAAGGGTTAGGGTTAGACGTTCACACTAATATTCTCTTAATTTGTTGTAAAAGTGCCTTGAAAGATGCAGATGGTAAAAGCATTTTGTAGAGTTGCTGTGAACTGACATTTAATTCTTCCACTTTCCTTTCTAACAGTATCACTGTGACGTTTATCCTCATTTTACACCATTACCGTTTTTTTTTGTTGTTGTTTTTTTTTCTTACGATTTCCTCTTGAACCCTGATCGGGATAACGTGTATAGCCACATTAACAACGGGAGAAAGGTTAACCGTTGCCTTAACTCACGGAGATTGCTGATGCTTGCCTCCAGGTCAGAAAAACTCCTGATCATTCGCGATGAGTCCTCCACTTTGTCAGTCCCCGCTGTATACTTATATCCATTCTTTACAAACGTTCCCACGTAGAAGACGAGCCCTACGCCCACCAGCATGAGGACCGGCCGCTTCAGCCACACCGCTCTCATAGTGATAACTCACCGACAGACGCCCGGCAAGAGAATAAAACCTCACACCTCTCACGCTCACGCTCACGAAGATGTTTCAGTTTACCGGAAGGACTGGTTCAGCTAGGCAGCTGGTGAGATGCTTGCGAGTTGAAGATACGAGATGATATCTGCGCTTCCTGTCCACTTTAGGCACAGGTGTCTCTCATTAGTCCCTACGTCACCTATCGTTACCTGCACGCCGGTGCGTACCGGACATTCATGATACGGTTATATAGAGAATACAAACCTTGAGAGAAACGGTGAAAACAAAGAGTTAACGGTAAGGTTTCATGTCCATTTATGGATAGATTTTGGGAACCACACTTTTTCTTAACAATGGTGATGATCATATAAACAACACAGTATGTTGCACAGTAAATGCATGGATGGACTCCACCAGACTTGCTTGATTTTACTCTTTATTTCTGTGGGGGTGGGGGGTATTTATATACAGTGAATAAGTGCTGCAGTGCTCGGGTCAGTCAGTTTTTGTTTGTGTTGAACAGTGCAGGGACATAATGCTAGTCCTGACCTGGGCACACTGGGTACTTCAGTATCCGCCATTCCTCTCTCATCTCATCACCTTCTCTCTTTCTTTTTCTCTCAGTCTTCTACCAGGACTGCCCACTCTCATGCAATTGTCAGTCTATGGGCCATACCCACAATGATGTCGCTGAGCTCACAACCAAGGTCTGTTTTCTGAGGTTTATAGGCTATAATAAAAGTTGTGAAATAATTGACTAAAATAACTCAACTTCTGTGCTTCAAAGACACTAAGGTAAGTGACTTTCTGATCTCATCCAACCGTGTCATAGCCACAGCAGTGCAGGGGAAAGTCAGGGGATCACCAAAGAACCACGAGTATAGCATATATCTATTGGATGGATTATTATCAACCAAATTTCTTGGCAATCCATCCAATAGTTGTCGAGAGATTTGACTTAAAATACAAAAAACCTAGTGCATTGAGACCAATGAGATTCATCCTCTGGTGATCATGACTGTTCTTAAAAGACTTCATGGCAATCTGTTAGTAGACCAAAGTTGTGGATTTACAGACCAACATAATCATCCTCAAACAAAACTGTAAAAGCAGCAACAATGCATCCAAAGGAGAAAATTGATACCCTGTCAGTACCACAATGGGAAAAATGCTCCAATTTATAAGTCCTGCATTCAAAGTTCAACTTGTTACAATGAACCAATAATATTTTTTAAATCATGCAACCTATTAGTATTAGTAAATTAATGTTTAATATTTTTCCCCTCACTGCAGGATGTTCCTGGCTTTGACTCCACCGACAGGCCAAGTCCTTTCCATGTTATATTTGCATGTTATTGTGTTTGTGTCGGATCTTCACGGTCCAGAGACAGGCAGGTCATGTAACCTGCACATCTGTGAGACACTGTGTTTTTGCCTTGTTTTGCCCTGTATTCAGCCTCTGATCTGCTGCATGATGGGATGGCCTCCGGTCCTCCACAGCAAAGAAATCAAGAGCTATTTAAAAGCTCTCGATCCATCGCTAATAACGGATATCTTTGGAGAAAGTGTTGAATAACATCTTTCTCACAGCAGATATTTTCTAAAAGTCAAATAAGGTGTGAATAACCACATTACTAATCTACACAGATTACCTATAGGTTCACTAGCATTAATCCAACAGAAGCATGTCAATGCAGTAGCTAAGTCTGGTCATTGCACAATGAAGTTGCTCATTCATGGACGTCTCACATGGTGGGTGTTGCACTGTGTGCTGCTAATATTAGGTGTGGCAGCTTGGATCATATGAGACAAGAAGCAACACGATGCAGATGGTTTAACATGATGTCGTCATTTTTAAATGCTGGTACCTGTGACCTACTGTATGTAGACATTGTGACATAATGTCACAATGAATGAATATGGCAAATATAGCACAACATGTTTTTAACATATTGAGATATAGGCAATATATAACAAAACATACAACCTGACTAAACACATTAGTTGAAAATGGCTGTGGCCTCTTTGTACAGTGCACTGTCTGTCTGGATTTGGGTTCAACACATTTCATTACAAGTGTCCAACCTGTAGCTGTACCTATTTATCCTGCACAGGGTCACAGTTTTATACATTGTCTATATCATTCACCCAGGACTGTTTGGTATCTGTTGTGGCCTTTTGAACCTTTGGTGCTATAAAAGTACTTTGAACATTTCTCCTGATCGCTGCCTCCTCTTATCTGCGAGAGGATGTGTAGAAATATGTTTTGAAAATAATGAGCACTGTTTGAATTCCAAATTTTATTATTTTTTTAATTAATTTATTTATTTAAGGTTGGTCAAAGGGATTACTGCAATAACTCAAACACATACTCAGTTTAGATTTTAATTTAAAAAAAAAAAAGAAGAAGGAAAACAGAGGAAAAGGTAAATAAGATCCAGTTTGACATTATCCTACTTTAATACATTATATATTTAGATTAAGCAATGAACTAAAAACTTGTGATAAGATTCTCAATCCTCCAGCTTTGTCCACTGCACTGCTGAATGATGAGCTTATAGTAAGAGTTTTCTCCCTGGGCAACCTCGAGACATCTCTTTGTTGCTTTGTTTCTGATCGCTTGGCCCTGCAAAGGTGTGATCAATAGAGAGAATGAATATGAGTACAAAAAAATATTTTAAAGCGCCCATGTGTAAGATTTCTGATGTTGGTGCCTTCTACTGATCTGAATCTGAAATGATATACAGTATACTAGATTGTTAAAAAGTCACTGGACAGGGGTCTGACTCCTCCCAGCTAAGGTCTTACTTGTTTGAAGTCCCATTGCATGTATAGTTCATTTAGCTTTGCCAGCTGACAGTCATGCAGGGTGGGGGTGCTGCCAGAGCCTGGATCAACCAGGCAGCGGTTATGGTTATATTTGTGAGCTTTAATCCCCCCAATGATGATTTCACCGTCTGTGTTGTAGTAGCAAAGCTGGGGAGATGGATAAGTCATGATTTGATATGATTTATTATTATCACTGTATAATTTTTTTAATCCGTCTTCTTACAGCGTATTACCTGTGGCTGCTGGGAGTGGCACTTGTATAAGATGGGGATGTTTCCTGGGATGGCTCCCTGGTCCACACAGTACTTCTCAAAAAGGGTGTTCTTCAGCTGCACAGGTCGGTGTAAGGGAGTTATTTATTTCTTTTTCCTCATTTATGTGTGTTTTATATCTTTTACAATGCAATGTTCAATCAGAGCTTTAGCATGGCTACATTTTTAAGGTTTTACCACAGCACATTTAATTGCTGAAGATAATACACAATGAATGCAGAGAGTCTTTAATGACCAGACTTCTGGTCTTGAATTCACTCACTAACAAGATTACATCTGCGAATTATTGACTGAAATTGTCCCTTACCACGCCATACCCCAACAGGTTATCCCATGTTTCCAGACTTGGATAAACATTGTCCAGGAACCATTTGAAAGGTTTACAGTGGAGCTTGTCTCTGAGCTTCCTCCTCGTGGACACATCGCCAGTATCAATTCCATGATCCTATGTGTCACATGTCATGTCAGTGACAATGCCAAAGTTAGGTAAAAATCTCTATTCATCTAAACATTCCAGCATTTTGTTAATGTTGTGTATGATTGATTACATTAGCTTCTGTGTAAAATACTCTATATACTCCAGAAACATAAAACATTATGGAAACCTCAAGAGGAATGTTCCAGGCAATCATGACATTCCTCTTATAATCATCAAACCAGATATCAGCAACCCTTAAGGCGTTTCTCCTCATGGCAGGGTTGAGATCAAGTGCATACGGTTTATGCGCCCTCTCAATGTGAGCTATCTTGGAGCAAGTCACAACCTCAACGCTCCCTCCACACAGCCACACCTGAGCGGTCAAGATACACACCAGATTATCCTTTAGTAATTATGCAAAACTTCAGCCGTAAATGAATTAATTGTGGCAGTTCTTATGACTTAACAGTTGCGGCTACTCACACGAATCCCAAGCTCAACATTTTCTCCTCCATAGACTGTCATTCCGCCATCAAGCCCACCAATTTCTCCAAGGAAACCTCTGTCCGCTACAAAGATTCCCATAACAGAGGGACTCCTGTGCCAAACCAACATAACGGTGTCATAATTATTTTCTAAGTCCCACTGAGATAAAAAATCTCTTACAGGAAAATACCAAATATATAACATGGCAGCAATTTGAGCTCAGTGTCCACTCAAGAAAAACAAGTACATGTCTCATTTACTGCATTATTTATGATGTTCTTAAAGCTGGCATTGTGCTAAAATATTGTCGTGCCTAAATGTGGTTGTCATGTTACATGTTGTCATTTTTGTCACAAAGAAACAATACCATCATAAATGACATACACTGCTTTATAGCTTGATTAATTATTTATTTTGAAATAACGGGCACAGCCTTTGTTCACTGGTGCAGATGTCAAACATAATTATCCTGCTGACTGTAATCTGTTTAAATAAATATTGCTTGTTCCGCATACTTCCCAGGCTGCGATTCATCCTCCATCTTCAGCCACTCTGGGCTAAAGTACTCGTACATGCACCACAAAGCCCAGTCAAAGCCATGAGAATATGGCGCGTATCTTTCCACAAGTAGGTCATCATAATGGACCTTATCAAACACAGGGGAGACTACTACCGTCCTGTCGACTTTGATCCTGGCCAGCAAAGGCTCTGCCCTGCGAAGGACACCAAAATAAAATACTACACGAGAAGAGAAAGAGGCGAAATTGGTCATTTTTCAACAGCATTTGTGTAGGATTATAACAGGAACTTAAGAAAATGAGTTTAGAAGTTTACCCCTAAATTTGAAACACGTGCTTACCATCCCTCTTTGGCTTCAATATGTGCATCGAAAATGGCCACAACATCAGCTGTGGCATGCTCCCAACCTGAGTTCCGTGACTGGGACAAGCCCATTTGTCGCCTATGCCGTACTTTTTTTATGAGTCCAGGCCTCTCTTCGTGAATCTGATCTATGTAGTCTTGTAACGGTTTTCCAAGGTCATCTGAAAATGTAGCCCACAGTCAAATCTATAAATAAAGGAGCACGGATGACTACAACCACTAGATAAATGATTTGAAAAATGCTCTGTATTGCAGTGAGAATCTGACTGTCATTTTCTCAGAGTCGGGGTAATGAGACTGATACAACAAGTGGCAAGTAGATTAGGACAGATATTTGAGAGGAGCGTCATCATACTAACTACATACTACTGACAAACTTACTGAAAGTGCTACAGTCATCCACCAGAATGATTTCCCTGAGCAGGTGCTGAGGAGTGTGGATGATGATACTCCGTATTGCCCTCTTAATGATAGAAAGGGCTTCGTTTATGTAGATGAGAACCACGCTGATGTTTGGCAGGTCTTTGGGATAAGTCTTCGTCAGACATCTAAATGGTGAAATGTGATGTCATGACAGATGTTAAAAAAAAATCTGATCAATATCTCATTCAGCTAGTTCTTCAGCAAGTTTATTTTTGATCCCTTTGTAGATTTTTCTTTTCAATAACACAAAATACTCAAACTTCCCTCAAGGTATTAGGACGTCACATGAGCAAAAGTTACCTCTTATCTCTTGTGTCCGGCAGCTTCCTGTCAAGTGGCAGCTGGTTGCTCAGGAAGACGTTGTATCCATATATCTGAAACAGATTTTGAGCCTCTTTTTGATCCTTTTCTGACAGGCCATCGCCCCATTTGGCGAACAGGTGGGAGTTTGGATATAACTTGGGCACCACAATCTTCTCTTCTTCTTGGTCCACATTTGGAAAAAGTTCATTGTTGGAGCTCTTTTGACCGGAAACTTCTATTAGCTTTGCTTTAGTTGATTGCGTTCACAAAAAGAGAGAGAAGGTTTGCAATGGAAATTATAATCAGTGTAGTTCAGTTTTAGTCTCTCAGTAGAAGAATAAATCTTTTTGGAAACAGCTGAAATGATTTGTTGGCTTATCTGTGCTGCATGTTCCTCTGATACTTCTCTCAGTCAGATCAAGAGTTGTATACAGCCACTTTACACTTAGTTTCCTCTCCTTGTCCATTTTGGATCTACATTCTCAAGGTGTGTTTAAATATTAGGCACAATTGCTGTATAAGCATTGATGGTAGCTGGCTAACAATGTGGATTTGAAATGTATGTGTAGAGTGTGTCCCCGCTATGTTGTGTGACAAAGTTACCAGGGTGCGCAGTTCTTTGTGTTTTCCCCTCAGTGTCCCCCCTTCTCTTCTTGTTCATGCATCTTTCCCGGACAGAAGTGGAATCATAACGCCACGGGAAATGCGCAAATTTTTCACTCCCGTTGAGACATGTAGAGCTCAGGCACGTCTTTGTCTCAATTGGCCCAGTGATGTCACTTACATTAGTGTCCACTCACTCCATACATTTGTGTCTCTTATATTTTGTGTTCAGTTTGAACACACCAATTCTTGACTCTGATTGGCTGGAAGGTGTCCATTAAGGTCTGTAGTGGACAGAATAACTGGAAGTTTTGAATGCAGGACTTTAAGTTACCATAGATATTTTTTACATTGTAGTACTCTTCATTTTACTTAACATGTTTTACATGTAGCAGCAGTTTCATTTTAGGGGTATTGTTTGAAAGCATGTTAATTTGTTTGTCAAGTAAGCCTGAATTGATGATTAGATAGATGCCAACTGTCAGTAACAACCTATTAATGTCTGGTCCACTACCACCAAAGGTTAAATTAGTTCAATCAATGTGTGATTTTCATTGAACTATCACTGCCCTGATGTGAACCGAAGATGATACCCAGTCATCAGCACATATGATAGATATAATACAAACTAGATGGTAAACATCTATATAAATGTCAAGGTTATTCACTTGCAGCTTGGCTGATTTTACAATGTGGATCTAAATGATTCAGCCATAGCAATCTCATGTGACTAAAGAGCTCTTGCTTGTGCAGGAGTAATCAATGAAAGCAAGTTTCTACAGTTTCTACTTTACACTAGTCCTCCAAATCCTTTTGAGCTGGCTTTGAATTTGTACTCACCCAGCCTGTTCAGACTCTTTTCAATCCGGTCGAGTTTCTTCCACACAACCTCTCGACCTGCGACTCCTTCAGGAAAAGATTTTCCTGCTCCCCAACTCCCAATCAAGTAGATGATGATGTACATCAAAAGTAAAAAAGCTTCAGTTATCCAAGCTCTTTTCATAAATGTCCTCATTGTCATTCTGCTCTCTGCGCCATGCCAGTAACCCTTGTCTCCACACACTTTATAGCTCAAGATGTTCAATAAATCACGTGTTGACTTAAAGATAACATTTCCCACCACATTTCCCATAAAAGGCTGTTTCAACTCAGTACCTTACTGGCTTGAGCGTGGTGAGGGCGACTCAATAGAGCCTGTTGTGTCGACAATATAATAGGTTTCAAAGTACACTGGAGTTTTCACTGCACCTATAAATCTTATTCACTTAACCCCCAGCTCCACCTTCTAATCTGATTATATTCTTAAACATTAAATCACAGTGGCCATAATAAGGTTCCAAATTTATTGATTCTATGTCAATCAGTCTACTTGTGACTACTACTAAAATGCAGCATATTTTATGTCCTATCATTGTGCCATGTATACATTAAATACACATTACAGTTTTGATTATAGTCGCTATCATTTTTTGTTTAGTCCATTTTGGTTGTTGTATGTAATCTGCTTTTTTAAATTGTATTATTTACCTTATTTGATTTTGTGATTTCTATGACTTGGTTGCTGTAACACTTCCAGTTTTATAAAGCACTTGATATATTACCTGTATAAATCTAAACATATTTTTCCTCATTCATCTTTGCAAAACTGCTCCTCTCCCAGGTGGCAGTTCTCCTGCAGACGGCTGCAGGGCTTGGTATTGTCACTGCAGATAAATAATTAATTACAGCAACCATAATTCAAGTGTAGTAAAACAAAAATGTAAGGTCATATCTAAGAACAATGTGTTTCACACAAAAAGACCTTAAAGGATAATTTTTTATTTATGTACAGAATACAATTAAAGACAAAAGGACAAAGCAGAGGTACTGAACATCTGGCTGCCCTAACGATGGTGAAATATCTCACATAGTTCAATAGTTGACAGTCTTGGCTGGTTTTGTCTCATCCAGATCAGCTTCCAGGTAACGGAATCGGCGGTGACGACGCAGAGTCTCAATTGCCTTTTGTTCTACAGTAGAAGGAGTGATCCCGAGATCCTCCAGACCAGGAAGTCCTGGGTACTTCATGTCTGTTATGTGAAACTGGAATGAAAGCATAGCACAGAAATATAGGTTATTGACCATAATAAGCACAAACACTGCTGGCAGTAAAGGCTCCACAATTGGCAGCACAATTCCAAAATCTTGGTTTTCTTACCCGGTCAACTTTGTCTGGGGTCGTCCAGGGCTCAAACGGATTCATTGCAAAAAACTGAGCCGCAAGGCTGAAAAAGAAAAACCAGATGGTGATCAGACGAGTGTGTAGCAACAAGTGAACACTAGAGACCCCTGTAGAGTGTTTGATTACTGGTGGCTCTGTGGGGGAATGAGTGGGTTCCTGTAATATTTTAACGTGTTCAATCAAAACATGCACACCATGAACATGGCCACATGTTAAACATTTCTGCATAAAGTGAAATAGGATCTGCCAGGAACAACTGAATACTTTGCAATCTTTCAATGATCTTTGTTTTGTTTAACAGAATGCTTTCAATGAAGCTGAAAGATGACTTAGTTAAACAAAAGATGACTGTCCAGAAAAAATGTTGATGAACATGTATCATGAACATGTGTGAGGAACTTACTGATAGAGTGGGCGAGGCAATGGGTAAGGCACAAAAGGCCTGTGTGCCACAGCGTAGAGGTACTCCACCAGGTCATGGAGGAGGTAACGGTTGGGGCTAGTCAAAAACAAAAGACAAGACAAAAACAGTCTGTTTGGGAACGTCATCACTGAATCAATCTGTGCACAAAGGTGACACAAAGCCAGGACATGAACCATGGACCAACATGTTTACATGAGCTTCACATACACATCAGCCAATTCAAGCTGACAAGCTAAACCACCCCACCCTCCAAACAATGCTTGCAAACAAGATAGTCCTGATTTCTGTAAGCTGTATCATTTTGATTCCTGGAAGCACCTCCCTGCTTGATTTCTTTCCTGCTTGACTATTTCAGCTCTACCTGTCTTCCGTATGCATTGTATTGCATGTCCATCCTTGTGTGTCTTTTTATTGCACTGTTCAAGCTTTTTACGCTTTCTAGCAGATATAAACTCCACTTACTTTATCCCAAGTACTGTGCTTTTGGAAGATGACATGTAAATCGCAACCATGAATGTCTATCTCAGTACAGATTGTGGTGTGTTGTGTGCTATAAGTTTCATTAGCTTCAAGTGCCCAAACAACAGTATTTGCTAAACCTGAGGGCACAAGTTTTCAAACAAAGTTATTTGAGAGGTGACCACCTACCCAACCAGTGCATAGGTCTTTCCATTAGCATCAGGATCTCTGACAGCATTGATGATGGCTTTGGCCACATCCACCACCTGAGGGGGGAAAGAGACAGTTAAGCTGGTTTTATTACACAGGTTGCTGTGGGTGCAGTGAGCTGAGTGGTTCAGGGAGGAGTTTCTTGTTTACATAAGTCTGGGGCAGCATGTTACATATTGACACAGACTGAAAATGAACAGCTTGCTTCACAGTACATTGTGATTTGACAATAGCTGCTGTGTGGGTACTTGTAAGAACTAGAACTTAGAAGATGTCACAAAATTGAATTGTCAATAATAGTTATAATTGGAAGAGGATTTTATGCAGGCATGTGGCCAAAATGTCAGTACTGTAAGTGATAATTCGGTTTATTTGACATGGGGTTGAGCAAGGCACTTATCTATAGTCAGTGTATGACCTACAGTAGATTTGGATCAGCGCTGCCAGTTTAGAGAAGCAGCAGGAGCACTGGCACAGAAGCTGAGTGATGTAGTGCTATGGACAGGGACACTGCTTTGGCAGTGAAAATATTCAAAATAAAGCATATACTTAAACTAATATTAGTGGCCATGTTTTAAAGTGGCTAAAACACATTTTTTTGCTGACCCCATCCAGAGCAGCCCATCACTCAGCTACTGTGCCGGTGCTCCTGCTGCTTCTCCTCCAACCTGGGAGCACACTGTTGTGAATCTACTGCAGGTCATACACTGACTACAGACTACCTCACACAACTCCACATCAAATAACCCAAACTATCACTTGAAAACATACAACATTCTTATCATCAAATGCCAACGTACTCTTCACCTAGACACCTAACACTAAATCAGCCCTGTAAAGCCACTTAGTAATCACTTACTGGCATATGGGCAAAAATGGCTTAATTAGAATAGGTCATTCCTTTCAACAAACTTACGTAAACTGGCTGCTTCACCGTCTTCTTCCCCATGGACACAAGTGGAATAGCATTGCCGAACCAGCGCATGTCTAAACGAGGATTAAAGCCACACATGAAATTTTCACTGGCTAGCTGGTTAGCTGGCTAACTATTAGTACCAGTGTGAACACCCTGGTCAAAAGAAACTTAGCAATAGTTCTGCTTGTATCAGTTGATGAAGAAACATTTACTTTAATATGCAGCACGACTGAAGCTGGAGCACTAAATGCCCAGCAGCCAAAACACAATCAATCACTGACAACAGACACAACATTCACACTCATCCCCATCACACAGAGACTGACATGTAGGCACACTCTTCGATCACAATCTCCTTCACTCACACACACTCTCACACACACACACACACACATAAACAACTTCTTACTTGCGTAATAGTTGAAGAATCTGTCCTCCCTCCCAAAGATCTCAGAGGGCTTCATGATGATGGCGTCGGGGAACTCGTCTCTCACTGCGGTCTCTCCAACAGCCTATAGTAAAAGAACAGTACATACAATTATCACCTACATTTAAACATATTAACCTTCTTAATATATCAATGTAGCCAGCACTGGCTTAGGTGTGTAAATACACTACAACAGACACATAGATACACCAGTTTGACTGAGTGGCAGAGATGTGCAGTATGTAGAGAAACAGCCGACTACCTTGTTCCTCAGGTACTTGGATGGGCTGCGTATGTCAGCGTTGAGGTGAGACATGTGGACAAACTTTGTGATGCCAGCCTCTCTGGCTGCCTTAGCAATCTGCTGGGGGATGGAAACGAAGACGTCCTCGAAGCGATAGTTCCTTTACACAACAAGAGGGAAGCCTGCATGTGAATTCTTACTTACAATTTACAGGCCAACTCAGCAAAGTCCTCCAACATTCATCTTAAACCTACATCTCATCCCATGGGAGTGGCTGCATTACAGAGTGTCCATCCATTCATATTACTACCGTGGGTAACACACCTTACCTCACCTTATGTGAAAATAAAATCTATATACAAGAAATGTAATAATAGAATATTTAAAGTTACCATGATCACATGACAACACAGTGACACACCATGTACCATAGTAGATTAAAGAGAGGATTCAAATTCTACTTCATGTGCAAAAGATAATATAACAATTCAGATGCTTTGGGATGTCTTCCCAGTGTACCTCGTCTCCCACTCTCTGCCCACCAGGTTGATGACCACATTAGAGTGCTCCAAAGCCCGCTTGATGGAGTCTTTGTTCCTGGCATCCCACTCCTGCAACGAGACAATACATTTGATTTTCATGTAAGCATCTTAAGTGCAGTACTTGCAAATTGAAGATTTCAGCATCCATGAGTGTTGCAATATTTCTACAAGATGCCTGTGTGTCTGCGCAGCGCATATCTTACCAAGAACATGATTTGTCCAAGATCGCCCATGGGCTTGAAGTACATGATGTCATACTGATCACAGCGGTGAGGGATTACAACCTGAGAGCCAATCCGACCTGAAAATCATCAGTGAAAATAAACACACAATCACATCTACGCATCATCAGTTTAAAAAGGATTTGTTTTTGTAAATATTTTAATTGGCAATCAATAGCAATAATTCATTCAGATATTAACTTTTACCAAAGCTACCCATGGACAAGTTAACAGAACAGAAATTGATTGATATATTTTCCCAACCAGATCAATCACTTCTATTTAGACAGTAGATCAAATACCATAACTGACCATGTTCCATAAATCCCTGCTGTAATACAGTACAATAATTTTTCATAAGATGAAAGTTGTCGGCATCCCAGAATATTTCTGTTAGCTGAGATTATATGTAATCTGAGATATTGGACACAGAATGTGATGTCTATAAGCACTAGCTCTTGAAGAAAATACACAAATTTTCTGCATATAAAGTAATATTGACGTACGGATAGCTTAACATTAGTATTTATGCTATGTTTTTAAACTCACCCAGCCTATTGACAACATATCGACCCAGGAAACCTGTGGCACCAAACACAGTGGCTGCTATTCCACTGGAAGAGGAGCGTCCTCCTTTCCCTTTGGGGATGACAGCATGGTGCAGCTTCCTCTGCTGGACTGTGGAGACGGAGGCAGCTGACAATACAGCAGGGGAACAGCTGCCTATTGAAAGGAGAGGAACACAGGCAACATTCAGTAAGCGCTAAAAGGTAGGATACATTCAGTTGCCAAATCTTTAGGTACACATAACTAAAATTAATGCAGTGTAATACAACAACCCTGATATACATCCTACTTTCATTCAGATTATAATGTTCAGCTTTATATTGAACTGTTTGTAGATTTCTTTAACTGTAACGTACTCACAACGACCATAACGTTGAATCAAAATCTCTCTAAAACTGCATTATTAATGAAGACCATGTGACACTCAGCATAATAATGTGCGGTATTCTATTCTCATTGAACACTTTATAAGGAACACCTGAACACCTGATTGTTCATGCAATTATCCAGCCTATCGTGTGGCAACAGTGCTAGCCTGTGCATAAAGTAATGTATATATGGTTCAGGATCTTCAGTTAATCTTAACATCAAAGCATCACAGAATGCACAACATGTTGAACCTTGAGGTGGGTGAGCTGTAACAGCAGAAGAAAACATCTGGTTACACTCCTGTGAGCCAAGAACAGAAATATGAGGCTGCAGTGGGCACAGACATGCCAAGACTGGAAAAAACATAGTCTGGTCTAATGATTCTGGATGTCTACAGACACATGCAGATGGCGGGGTCAGAGTTTGGTGTCAACAGTAGGCTGCTGGTTGTGTAATGGTGTGGGGATTTTTTAGGCAGACTTATTGTTGCTGACAATGTGCATCCCTTTATGGCCACAATTTACCATCTTCTAATGGCTACTTCCAACATTATAACACATGTCACAAAGTAATAGTTTCTCAAACTGGTTTCATGAACATGGCAATGAGTTCAGTGGACTTCAATGGCCTCCCCTGTTACTAGTTCTGAATCCAGCTGACAAATCTTGCAGAAATGATGTGATGCAGTCATGTGAACATGGATCAAAATCTCAAAGGAGTGTTTCCCACATCTTGTGGTATCAATGCCACGAAGAACTGAGAACTGAGTTGTCCAGTATTAGTATAGTGTTCCTAATAAAGTGCTCGGTGAGTCTATGTATGCACTGACCAGACGACTATCAACAACATATGAGTAAGAAGGCATTTTAAAAGGCTGGATGCTTACTAAGAAACAATACAGTTCCTTATAGGAAACATAAACTGTGGATGAATATTGGAATATGTAACAAATTATATCCGCAGATGTTAACCAAACACCGCTAACTCCGTGTCATTGTGCAGATGCATGTTATTGTCAGCATCACAGTTGTTAAAACGCTCGTCACAGTAGATCAACCAGCCAGATATCTAAATCTATTGTTATACTACCTGAGTAACAATCTACGACGACGTGAATTCATAAATATAAAAACAGGGTGTTTATAGAGTCTCTGTAACAGACGTCACGTCACAGTAACACACTGGGCAGGATGGTGGTCTACGCTCAGCCAAATTTAACGCTTTATCCTTCATTTATTATTTCATGATGATGCAGGAATTCGGATATTCGGTAAATAATTACACAGAAATATTTTGAAAGTCCAAAATGTGAGCTACTAGCTAGCTTTAGCCTATGCTAGCAGGTTATTAGCCGAGCCGGTTAGCAAGGTCACTCAACTCTTGCGTGCAGGCTGGTGTGAGTCAGTGCAGGGATGGAATAGGTGTAAAAATATACTTTAATATACTCTAAGACACACATATGCACGTGTACTAGCAACTGTTTTGACGTTACTCACTTGAAATCTTTGGAAGGACACTCGCAGGACGGCTAACCAACGCTACGGTCGCCATCTTTCCGACTACGGCGTACCGAGTGGGACAAAATACAGGAACGTCAACGAGGTATTCAGGACAGTGGTGCTCTGAACTGTGGAGTGACGCACACGCAAGGCAAATACAAGCCACTGAACAGAACTTATTTTAGACGTTTAAAATAAGTTTCTAAATTCTAATTAGACAAAAAACTTAAACCCGAAAACAGAAATCATCATTCGCTCAGAAACTAAAGAGAAAATGAAAATAGTAGAAAGTATAGAGAATAAAGTGGAGGGGAGCTGTCCAAACACAGAGAACATGTTCAGTCTGTGCAGAAACGCAGATACTACGAGTCAAAAGATCAAAGAAAGAACATGCAGCTGTTCACATCTGCAGCAGGTTTGATGAATCTGTCTTAAACTTATTTATTTATTTATTTATTTATATCTGTTATTAAATAACTCCCCTTCTTTATGCCTACCTATATTTCTGACCAGTGTTGAAGTTAATTTGGAGTCACGAAAGTAAAACGTTTTTTTTCTTTTTATACCTTTAAAATTGTTCTTTAAAATTGTTGTTAAATCAAGAGCTGTGTAATGCAGCTTATCTGTAAAACAGAAAATCCAAAGCATTTATATGTGAAGATTTTAAACTAGCGCCCTCTAGAGGATTTTAAAAGCCCACCTGTCAGATCCATATGATGCCTGTTGGACTGTTATGATATTTTTTCCTTCTTTAATACTTCTGTAGTGAAAGAGTTTCTAATCTTTTTTCGATAATTTTCTGCCCTTACAGTGGTTGAAATATTTTGAACTATTGGCTGCAGTTACAGGAGCAGGACTAACATGAGTTATTACAGAACGACCAGGAGAGGGAGAGCTTTTCATACTTTATCTTTTGTTGAATCCGATTTTTTTATTATTATTTTTTTACTGAGTGCCTGATTAGAACTTCAGGAGAAATTACCACAGAATCTACAAGTTGCAATGAAATGAACAAAAGATGAAACTTAAATCATTAAGCACAGATAGATGGAGAACTGATGTAGGAGTTCAGTTTGATGTTAGTTCAGTTAATTAGGATTTTAATTTGCCTAAAAAGTTTAATTTGTTTTCTAAGGAGCTGATGATAAATGATGAGGTCATGCTTGTAATTCATTTCACACTGTGAACAGTTTTTAATAAACTTTTCATCTGCATCTCTTCATGTGAGGAAACAGATGCTAATTTTTTCTCCTACACAACTTTTGAACTTTGGAAAATTCAAATATAAGTCTAAGCTACGTACGAGGTAATGCAGCTTAATTGTTTGATGCTTTACATTTAGATTTTCACAATGTGCCAAAGAGGCCTCAGTTTCATTTCAGGTTGAATCACACATAACCATAACTATGAGGATAAAAATTGTGAAATATTAAAACACATGTTCTTTGAAACAACTTTTTATTTCATCATAAAAGACATAAAAATGACTTTGATTGACTTTCGTCAGCTACAATCTATCCTCTCGGGATCTCTGGTGGTTTAGCTAATAGATAGTGAGGGAACAAGTCTATCTTCAGTTTAAGTTGGATCTCTGTTGGCGACTAACAACATAAATCATTGTAAAAAGATGGTAAATAATGTAACAATTGTTTTATTATGTCCTGTAACATTATTTTGTGAAATAAATGGGATCCTGGCAAGGTAGTCTGAACTCTTGTCTGTTTGACAGCCAAGAATCCAGCGGTTTCTAATCCAGATGTACACACACAATAGTAAAGTGCAAGATTTCTAATACTGCAAGGCACAAACTATCAATAATAGGATTGTATTTTTGTTTCTAATATAAAAAATATTATGAATAACACAGACAAAATGTTTCCATACAGTAACAACACAACAAGTAAAACCTTGTCTAAACCCTCAACAAATATCTGAAATATTTTTCTTAAAATATGTTCTGTATTACACATACATACGAAATTACAGCAGAAATATGTACAATAAATTCTATTACAAATACATATTTTATTATTGTTGAATTAAATTCTTAAACAAATATGAAACATAGGATCAAACATATTCCATAATAAATAAGTAAAACAATTAATAATCAGTAGTAATCAACTGCATTCTACATTTAAAAAGTACATGACAAATATTTATTTAACATCATGTTTAAAAAAAGACATTTTTTGGCTCAGCCTTTATTGCACACAATTTTTCAAATCTTTTACCATTACGAAACTTAAATGAGGCTAAAATGTCTAAAAGACGAGAAAATAAAAGCAAAAACAAAGATTAGATTGATTTCCTACCAATGTGCTTTTTTTTAAAGTCAGCTGTTTTATTTTTAACATGGAAACAGAGAAGTAAAAGTCTAACCTGTGTATCAAAGATGTCAATGCGCAGCAAAGATGGGTTCAGTAAATAATACAGGAAACAATGACAGCAAAACATTTTTGCTGTACTTTGAATTTGGATTTTAACCATTTAATTTAAACTCAAGTGCATTCTTATGTGGCAGACAGCTTGATGTCTCCAGTGTGACACATTTAAACACACTGCCTGCCTGCAACTGCATCTCAACTCCTTTATAAAAAAACAAACAAAAAAAACATACAACTGGTTGATTGACGTCACTATCATACAAACTCAAAGTTTCACAGAATAAAAATTTTACACTATGACTGCATACTTAAAACAATAAATAGAAGAAATCCCTCTTAGCTGATGATGAGTGTATCCCAACCACACATCAATATTTTGTTCATGGCATGTGGGAACTGGTTTGTTTTCTACTTGTCAGTAGAAAACATCGGCTTGAGCTGCTTTCCAACTGAGACTCAGGAACTGACTCTTGTCTCTGGTTCTGATTTCTCTAACATTTTGTTTTGTGACGTCATGTATACACGGCAGCAACATGTTTGCAGCAAATAACAGCATGAAGGATCTTTTCATTTTCTGTGTGTACACGGCCAGACAAATGAAACTTTATTTCATCTGTCCATTTACTTCCACTTCAACAACATGCTCATTCTCAGGTGGGATATGGGACATTGAGTGTGAACATTCCCAGTTCCCACTTGTCATGAACGCAGCACATTTCCCTTGGACTGTTAGACGATAGGGGGCAAACACTGAGACGGTTCCTGGCGATCTTTTCTCTCCGTGCCTACTTCTTCTTGAGGCTTGATTATGATGTGAACAGGCCTTTCTCCCCCTCCTTTCTGTTTGGTATCTGTGGAGAGCTTGCCATCGCTCTCACATACCTCCTCCTCCGCTGACGCCCCGATGGGCCGCAGACGCTCAGCAGGTGCCATCTTTGTTCCTGTTTCTGAGCTGTCTCTCTTCAGCTTGTCGTTAGTGCTGCTTTCTGAGCTGACCTTCTCTGTAGTACCATGGAAACAAAGGACAGTAAAATGTCAGCTTGAGGTGAATACAAAAGAACTCTGTTGGTGTGTCTGCAGCTATGGCATCAGCTGATGCCTCTTCAGCTCAGTCAAAATTATTAATGAAATCTGTTTCACTCAATAAAAAGTAACTGCGTTATTATTAAGTGGACATTGGGAGGGCAACAAGCATAGATGATTGGAAATTAATATTTTTGATTGTTCGCAGTATGTATGAAACGTAACATGAGGAAAGCAACATATTTTCATGCCTTGTGGACTTCTGGAAGATGATAGGTTTTTGGAATGACGTCAAAGCCAAAATTTATGATTTGCTTGATGTCACTATAACACTGAGCCCTTTAGTCTGCATCTTAGGTTTAGATTATACTGTTAAATACGCTGTTAAGTATAAGTGTATTTTGGGAATATGTGGTATGTGGAAAGATTGTTCAGATGTGAATCGGCTACAAAAGCCCTGATGTATTGTTGTGGTTTGAAAAATCCATTAATGTTATTCCATTTGAAAACCTTTCGTATATATGCAAAAACAAATCGGACATCTTAGACATCTGGAAACTACTATTGGGACTGATCCACAAATTAGGCCTTTATGAATTAATCAGTGGTAAACAAATGTAATCATAGTTAAATATGTTGCTTAAAAGGTTTCGTATATGTGTCTACATGTCTCTGTATATGTGTATATACGTATGTGGACCTAAATGTAAAATGTTTATTATTCATTTTGTATTTTATTAGAGTAGCAATGTGGAATGAGTTAGCAGTATGCTTCCAGTTAAGGTGTGGTGCTGTTGGTGTTGAGGTGTTTGTTTTGTGCATTTAAACACTGAGGTTGAGTGTTACTGTCTGTAGTGTAATAATATTGTTAGGTTACCAGTGTTATTTAAGTTTATTATTTGAGTTGCCATAAATGTGATGTAATTATGATGAAATGCTAATACAAAATATCAGTGAATATAAGTGAAAACTTGTACCATTCAGTCCGAACTGTATAGATTTTTTTTGCAGTCATTATTATTCTAAGTATACAGCATAGATGCTGAAATGGACTGTACTCTTATCAGGCTTACCATTAGTTTGTCTGTCTGTGCTAGTTGAGCTGTCTGAGGTTTTCTTCACTGTCGGTCTGGTTCTTGGCCGGACTTTGTTGAAGTTTCCCTCCAGGATCCACTCATGCTGTAACCCCTCATCAGGAGTCATGCGCTTGGTTGGATCCCAACTGACAAGCACAGAGAAGTAATTTAAGTATGCAAGTGCAGCTTGAACTTTAATGCAGTACCATTAAAGCCTAATGATTTTTAAAAAGTCACATCCAGTTTTTTACGCAGATTCTAGCAGAAGTGTAAAGGTGACTTACGTGAGGCAGTGTTTGATGAAGTCTAAGAACAAGACATCATTAGTTTTCAAAGCAGCTGACAGCTCCTTGGAGTTGGGTCTCCTCTTCTTTCCCTTGCTGTTAGTGATGTTCCTTGGGTTTCCTTTGGAGTCTGCAACCAAAACACAGCAGCAGTTTATCTGAATGTTCCCATGTTATCTTAAACTTTCTGCAAAGCGGTAACCCACTGAGATATTCATTCATCTTCTCATCTAGTAATCCCACATTCTATCAAATAAAATACCCAATTAGACATTAAGAAAAATATCTAGGTGAAGAAAAATTCTCACCAAAGAATAACCTCCTCCTCGACGCTGACTGCACAAAATCATTTGGAGGCATCCCCAGAACCTGTAATATCAGGATACTTTCACACACTGAAGCAACTCAGCAACCATATTTCAAAAACACACACAATTATGTCCACGTCCTACCTCCATTATGCAAGCTATCTGCTCCACTTCACTCTCTCCTGGGAAGAGAGGATAGCCTGTGTAGAGCTCAGCTAGGATGCAGCCCAGACTCCACATGTCAATGGCCATGCTGTAGGGGTGACCCAGGATCACCTCTGGGGAGCGGTAGAAGCGGCTCTGGATGTAGGTGTACACTAATGGAGGTGGAAAGTAGAGGGAAAAATAGACAATAAGGTGCATAAGTTCATATACGATTTATGTTCACAGAACCAGTCCATTTCTTTGAATATCCCAACATGGTGAAAATGGTTGTTACATATTCTCACTAAGGAGTTATATGCTCTTACCCCTTTGTTGTTCATAACAGCTTGACCCAAAGTCCACCACCTTTATGTTCCCTGGCCCTCTCTGAGACAGAAGGATGTTCTCCTGTTTAGAAGTAAAACCAAAAAAGCTTTCATGAATTATGCTGCAGTATCGCAATGCTCCACAAGGTGGAGCAAAATTCACACTATTGTTCTGGGGAATCTTTTTGCAGGATAATGACCCACAGCATTACAGTGATTCAACTGTGTGATCTACATGAGGTTTCATTGAGTTTTCAATCATGCCTAATAATTTGTATTCCAAATACAGAGCCAGGTGTTACAGATAATAGAAGTCAGTACCGGTTTGAGGTCGCAGTGGATTATCTTCTCCCTGTGCAGCATCTGCAGGCACCTGAGAAGTGCATGGGCAAACCGACGGATGAGAGCGAGACTGAAGCCCTGGAAGTTGTTTTTTTTGATGAGCTCGTACAAGTTCACCCTGTGAAGAGGAACAAAATGCAATGCATGGTTAGTTAGTAATGCTAATAAAGAATACATTGGATTAATCTTCAAAATATTTTCCCTTACAATATTTCTTTTTTTTTTAAACTTTTTTTTTTCCTTTTTCCGTCTACACACATCATCTCTATACATAGTAGAGTGAGCACAGTAAGGACTCAAATAATTGCCCTGAAAAAGGGCTGCTAAGTTTGATGTCACTGTACATCACCTATAATAGAATATCCACTGACTGTCAAGTGCACAATAATCTATGATTGTCCTCACATTGACAAGGGGACAGAGACGCGCAGTGTGTCCCCCTGCCATTTCTTTCCACTTGTGATAAGCATAAACTTCTTTAGACTGTGTAACAGGAGACTTCACACCATGAAGCAAGAAGGGGAAGAAGATAGGGCCCTAATCAAGGCCTTAACTAAAGGATTCGGTGACAGTAATGTTAGACAAGGTGGCAGTGCAAGACGTCCTCTAAAGGTCATTCAGCCAGAGTGATACACAAAACTATCTCCCCTCAAATAGATATCAGTAGCGATCCATGCTAAAACACAGACGCCTTAAGGTACACAGGTAATCACTTAACTCATGACTGACTGCAGAGGTGGAGGTGGAAGTAATGACTAGAGACAAGTGAGAAGTGTCTTTGATAAGACAGCAAAGGGATCAGACCCTACTGTTGTACCTGAGGAAAGGTGGCTGACCTCGAATACGTTTGATGAATAGATCAATTATTCAGATGTCTTTATAGTCTCCTGTAAGACTATTTTCTGAACATGCAGGCCTGCTTGCTTGCATGCTGAATGCGAGTGAATGTACTAACCCGAGGAGCTCAAAGGAGATGCAGAGGTGATTTCGGAAGTAAAAGTACTCCTTCATGTGGATCACGTTGTGGAGGTTGTCTTTGTCTTTCCGCTTTATTACATCCAGGATCTTGAGCTCTACGAGGGCTTGGTGATGAAACCTACAGGACAATTTGTTCGACAATTTGTTAGATACTGAAATTCACCAATATTACCTGGGATTTGAACATGATTTATTTATGAATTTTTAGGTATAGCCGGGTAAGAATAGTGTTTGAAGTTCCGACATGCCAAAATGTCTGAATATCTCTTGGAAAGTTTTTGATATTATATATGAACATGTTTCCTATCAATTTTCTCTGACAGGGAGGTTTGTCCCAGCACAAAAATCCCTAAAATTCCTTGATATTTCTGTATGTCAATCATTCACCATCCTCCCCCAGGAGAAATTAGATCTAAGATAGCTATCTGACACAGTGGCACAGAGTTCTCCTACGGCAGTGCCGTGGCAGTTTGCGTCCATTTGTTTTCTGCATTATTGAAGTAAGGGTCAGACCTGCTGGCTCCTCCTGCATCTAACCTAAGGACTCAGGCAGTTGTTGCCACTGCGATCCTCAGTGAGGAAGAACAGGTAAGTTAACACCAAGAGGTGCCGACTTCTCTCATGCTAAATCAGGATTTGGCCGACTCCTAAAATGTAAAATGATCACGGTACAGGCATGTGGGAAAAAACCTCACAACGGGGTATCAGATCTCAAATGAATGCCAAAAGTTGACTCCTTGAATATGAAAAATAACTTCACCATACAGCTTTTATTCTATACAGCAACATTGCACTTGACCTAGTAATACAGGTGTTTTTTTGAAGGTCTGTTCCGGGAAAGGTTTGTCCAAACATCTGATCAGAATGAAATTTAAATAATAAAATATTTCAGAATGAAATATTACGGCTTACCTTTTCTTATTGCGGATCATCTTAATGGCTACGAGTTCATTGTTTTTGTGGTCCAGACATTTTAGGACCTGCCCAAAGGAGCCTTTCCCAATCACTTCAAGCACTTCAAACCTGTAGGCAATGTGATCGTGCAGCACCTGGAAGAACAAGAGCAAGAGCACAGGGAATATTAGAGAGGAATTCACTCAATGAAAATAAAAGATAAAATAAAAACAGCAAAATGAACTCATATAATAGCCACTGTTAATGATTATACACGTTACTGTATATATACTCGCTGACATCACAATCTTAGGATATACAAAATGATTACCTGTGCAGCGGAGTAGTGCAGGTAAAATGTACTATGGCTTTACTGTAACTGTGAGTCAAAGCCGTGACAGTGAGATGAACCTCAACAGAGATGTAAGAGTCTAAACATCGGCTGGTCACTCACTGCCTGATTGATACAGGACAGTTTAGCCTGTTGTTACAGGGTGTGGTGACCTCAGTGCAGTTTATTGTACACAGCATTCAACAATGAAGTCAGTCCAAGAGAACGGCTGGTTCATGTCTGCAGCTGCTGGATTAAGGTCATACGAAGGCATCTGTTCAGGTACAGTTAAGCTTAGGAAGCTTGGACGTCTTTGCATGTGTGTGTGAGTGAGTGAGTGAAATGATACACAACACCGTGTCTTCAGGTTTCAAGTGTATCTTTTTGATTTAAAATGATTTCAATTTCATGTCTGTACACTTTAAATGTGCTTTTTGATAGGGTTGACTCAAACTTGGGCCCTATTTAAAAAAACATCCTGTTGGTTTTGTATGCATCAGCAAATAAACTAAAAGTTGTGTTTACATGACATAGCTGCTGACCACACAAACATTACAGTTCTTTAGAATCAAGTCTTCCTTTCCTGGCAGCTATGAGTTTTAGTTCTCGTTAGCCGTGAATGAAAACCCACGTTCTTTTAGTTTGCTAAAGATTACAGTACATGATTCAACACTGAGAACATTAAGTAGCCTTTGTTTTTTTTTTGTCAAATCTGAGTTTAGCAACTGTTTAGAAAAATCTTCTGTTCATGCACCTGGAAAATGTAACATGTAAGACTTGGGAGTTAACTGATTTCTAACTTTTTCTAGAGCTAATGCTAACATGTATAATTTTTATGTTTGTTTTTTTTTCACAAGTTATTCACAAGCAAAAGGAACAAGGAGGAATTTTCTTCACAGTCCCTGTTTGGTACTAGGCTACTTAACCACACAGCAAGTTAATTTCATACAATACTCATCTACCAAAACCAATCGTGCCCGGAAGGTACTGGTCTAAAATGGTCAGCAGTAGTGTAAAATAGCAAGCTTAAACCTGTCCTATCCTACTCCATCTAACACATTACCCTGATGTAGCTTCCGTGCTCATCATCGTATCCAGAGTTCTGTGGTCCTCCTTGGGAACCCTCGATCTTCTGAGAGCCCAGCCCCATGAACCAGACCTCCGTGTAATCCATGATTTCCTCCTGCTCAAAGTCCGTCATCCGCTCCTGGAAGTTCTTCAGTGCCTCTGCAACAGGAAGTAAGAGGAGGAGGACAGTATGAGTCACTATCATATTGATTATAGCTCTGTTGAGAGCAGAGGATTGTGAGCCGAACAATTGGCTTCAAGGCCAACATGATATTTTTATTACATCAGGGGAATCAAAATTGTTACTTAGTTAGTTTGTGTTGAAACACCCACAAGAGAATCAAAATATGAAATAACGCCTCCGTGGCTTTCTAATTCTGCTGTATTTCGTTGAATCCTTAATAACATACCTATGGGTGACATGGGTAATCTCTGTCCCTCATATGCCTTCTCTTTCTCCAGCTTGTTGCTGAAAATCTTGCTGTTGCGAGAGACTGACACTTTATCCATTGCTGCACCAAACCGCATGGTGAACTGCTGGGTGGGCTTCGGCCTCTCCTCCTGTCCCCAAAAAACACACCACACGTAAGTAGAGTCGATTTGTATTGTGAGCAAAGAAATATAACTACAGTGTGACCTTCATACTGTGTAAGCTACTTTCTTTATCCTTCCATCAGAAACATCACAAAGCACTATAATGCAAAACTAGCTGCTACTAGGATATTACAGGCTGCCAGTGTTACACATGTAACCATATGAGAGGCTCACCGGGTGTGTCTGAAAGTTGTTTTGGCCCCCTTTGTTGGCAATTTGGGGCAAGATGTTGTCCGACTGCTGGTGCTGGTTTTTGGCATTGCTGACCACCACCTGGACCACTGGTGGCTCAAGCTGAGGCAAAGTCCCTACACCAGGGCCAAACTTCTGTAAATCAGAGAGGATTTATTTAATTTTTTTTGCCTTCAGTCAAGAAATACACATTTGAAACTTCACTACATAAAATAAAATCAAAACAATTAAGAGAGACAAAATAACAGAGGGGCAGAAAAGATCTCTCAGTCAGTTATAGGAGTGTGAATAATAATAGCTTTCAATACACAAAACCAATCAGAATATTTATGTAAACTAACAAAGAAATTGCCCAGCTTCCATTGCTGGAGGGCTTTTAAGGTCTTCCTCTGTGGGGAGTTACCCCCTTTGTATCTTAGCACAACACAGCGACAGATACTGAACAGCACATCGAAGTGAAAACATACAACAAAAGCAACCAGACAGAGTGGGTCAGCAAGTATGAAGTTGAAATGCATTATTCTTTTTTAAGGTGTAGATACAAGCTTGTCACAGCCCCTTTAATTTTTTCATGAGTACATCTTTGTGTTGAGCTGCACCTTGTCAGTTTTAGTTTGTGTTCTCAGCTTGCGATCTACATCCCTTTCACATGCGTTTTGTACATGGAGGCTCAGGTGACCAGGACCCCCAGCAGGCAGCAGTTGGAATTACTTATCAGGGTGAGAGTGAAATGGGGACAAAGCTCCATGAAGCTGGGTCCTGACAGAGTCTGTCTGTGGTGGCTCTGTAGGGGAGGTGAGGAGCAGCAACCTGCTTTTCTCTGGCTGCCATCCTGCTTGCTCTGAGAGCACGATTACATGTGTCACAGCCTTGCAAGGCTCAGCCCTGGCAATGATGGGCAAAATTAGCCTTCTGTCATGTGCCAAGTTCCCTGGGAAAAATGAGATATCCTATACAAAAGTGTATCTGTGTCAATAGGGACACTGTAGAGTGTAATTAAGACAGGTTTCTACTCCCTGATCACAAATTCCACAAATTTGAGGTAAAAAACAAAAACTGAGCTGCCTCTCCATCCTACATGCTATTGTATAGCCTTCAGCAATGTACTGCATTAGGAAAATATTAAATTCTTTCATATTAATTATTAAAAGCATTCCAGGAAAACCCTTTCCCATCTATACAGTAGGTATTTTTCACGTGTTATGAGCTGCTGCAGGATCTGCCAACTTGGTTATGACGCATAGAGATAGGGCTAAATATAGTCGCAAGCACCTGCCACAACAGGCAAAGGAAATAAACACAGTTATGTGCCTGTACATAACTGGGGGGCATGCTGTTTAAATTGGATGCTCTTGTATCACTGGAAATGTGTGATAATCACATATGTGCAGACAGATGTGTACAGTCACGTCCATGCTATTCTTAGGAGTTAATACATGTCCATATGGATGACGTGAATTGTGAACAACACCCTTGATATTTTATAATGAGGCACATTTTTTCTAAGGAGCTGCTCTGTTATTCTTGAAATGCATTATTTATTCAAAAGTTAATAATCAAAACAATACAATAATTGTCAAGGATACATGTCAGAACATTAGTGAGTGTGCTAGGAATGATTTCTAATAGGAGAAGGTATTCGAGTGTAGTTTACTGCATGTGTATAAAAAGAAAAAGCAGTGGAGAATGACAAATATTATGTCACAAGCAATGTTTTGGGGGTGTTTATATCATCATTCATAACAATTCAAGCACACCTTACATAATTCAAACACTAAAGGGAAGAGATGGCACGGTTGGTATGTGTATTGGATCAGCTGCTACAGCATCTTGCAGAGGGGAAGTGCTGACCTGTGAGCAGGGTCGGTTTGTTCCAAGCCGGTTTCCCTCTGCTGGGAGTCGATGAGGGTGAGGGAAGGGCTCCGGTCGTGATGTCTGTGGGAGGAATGAGAAGGATTCATAAAATATGCTGCTTTCTATTTACAACATGCTGGAAATAAAAGCATTAGGTAACCACATTTCTCCTCCCCTGTGGTTTTTTACTGTTTATACAGCACAATGCATAAAACATTCATTCCACAATCAGATTTTACAGCAAAACAGACGGATTAAAGCAGTCGTGTTAAATAATAATGAAACTGCTGCTCGTATTCATGTAGGCTGTATTTTCCAGTCTGTTCAGAAACACACAGCCTGTGGGCAGATGAGTGTGGTTGCAGTCAGACTGGCAAAAATAATGCACTATGATCTTAAAATAGATTACTTCTGCAAAAACCCAGCAACAACGATCCCCTCGCTATCCAGTATTCTCTGTGTACCTGCTGGCTTGTGCAGGTGTGTGCCCATGTGCACATCCATGTGACTGGCATTGGATGTACACGTGCCTCCAAGCCTATGCACGCAGGAGCAATATTCAACTGAATGTGTTAAAGGGAAGCAATAGATTGACTGAATTGATAAAAAAAAAAAAAAGTATCACATTTGGGATGATTCTGCACACTTCACTCCTACACCAAGCCAGCTTACACGTGCCTTATTAATCAGTGGGTGAGCGTGCAACTGTGTTGGGTGACACCATATGGGTGAAATAAAGCTTAGCCCCATATGGGGATATGTGCTAAACTCACTCTGCCAGCCTGGCAGTGAGGCAGGGAGGGAGGGGGTGAGACAGGCTGAGTGGGGTGTTGTCCACGGGTGCTGGATGGGAAACAGCATCTCAATCATAATCTTAAGCTTTAACACAGCTTTCAACATCAGGTCAGTGTCATGGTCGTAAATTAAGGAGAAGGAGATGAACTATACCGTCTTAGACAGCTCAGCAGAGCAGGATAAGGCACTGAACAGACTTCTTACATCTGATTTATAAATTCCTGAGACTTACTGATCACTGGATGAAACACGCACTAGCTTTGCTCATCACATTCAAGTGGTTATAGTCCTTCAGTAAGATAATGAAACCACACGTAGCCAAACAAGGGTATGATACAATAGTGTAGTCATGTTACAATCTCAGGAGCGCCGTGAGTGACAGAGTGACAAAGTCATGTAGGTCACTGTGGCAGGTTGGCTTCCAAAACATCACCTGTAATGGTCTGCTGTTAGCCTGGCTATAGGGCACTGAGCCAGTGGAAACCAGTGACATCATAATATGTGTCCAAGTGCCGAAGAAAAAATGTGACTGTGACCTTTTATTCCACTGTGATGAATGACTGTCAGCATCTAAACTATATAAAGAAGTAATTTACAGCTGAACACATGTGATAGAGATGTGATAGTGTGTTGGGTGTTAGGGTAATAATGAGTAAGTGAATGACCACAGATTTTTCACCTCTCTCAGTTCAAGATGAGATTCAAAACAGCAGGTGTTAAATGATATTGGTGTCTGTATTCGTGCCTATATTGTGTTTCCTAAATGCAGTCCATCTACACTCAGCACACATGAAAGACGGCATCAGCTCTAAATGTGCTAATGAGTTTGATAAACTTACATGGAAGTAAAAACAAAGAAACAAAAGTCAAGAGGAACGCAGACTCTGTATCCATGTGACAGGGGGTCTTTGCTGGAGGTAGAGGATCATCCCAGCTCATTAAGGTCCTCGAGGGTCAGAGGGTCAGCAAAGCAATAAAACCAGGAGTAACTGAAGGTAAACATCAACTGTAAAACTGCTCACTGACACTATCAGCTGTCAGGCATGCACGGTCATTTTTCAATGTATAGAGACATTCCTCTGCCACTTCCACTGTACACAACAAACTGATTCCTGATGGCATCACTTGTGACCACAGGGAAGAATGCCTGCAAAGTCAATACAATCACCGATCAATCCATGTGATCAAAGTTAAGTATTAGTTGTTAGGGTTCGTCAGTCAAAATTCCTGCATTTCCCACTTCTGTTACTAAAAACAGTAGAAAGATTAAATTCTTTTAAGATCCAAAAACAGCAAAGGTTAAATTTATATCAGTTTCCATGTAAGGTGTGAAAAATACAGTAGAACACATATAGATTTACAGAATCTGTCAACACAACGAACGCTGAAATAAGTAGGCTAAACATCGACTGAAATAGAAATGGATCAGATTTTTCATCCGAACTTGGCAGGTGGTCAGGAGGAAGGGGGCGGACTACAAAATAAGCATTCAAGTGGGATAACTTGTGGAGGAAAAATGGAAATATTTCCAAAGTGAGAATGACTTCACAATCTTGGCATGAATCAATGAAGCTAAAAAGAAAATGTTCAGACTTTTACTTTAGCAAAAAGGATACCTGTAGAAGGTTTCTCCTGAAATGGAACTGGCCAGATATGGAGCCCTGTATCTGGTCAAAAGTATCTCTTGTTCCGTGTAAAATTTAATGCAAATATGAAAATTTGTAAGTTCTGACACTATGTGATAGGAGTTAGGCTAAAGAATGGTATACCGACATACAAACGCTCTCATTGATTAGATAACCAGACTAACCCTGTCACTTAAAAAAAAAAAAAAAACATCACTCTAATTCATAATATGCCAAAAAATGTACTATAAATATAAACTGAGTATCACAGTCACACTACTATTAACCACAATGTATTTTCCCAACCATCAAACCAACCAAAGTCCCTCACCTTGTTTATTTCTGGCAACATGCTTTGTTATCAATGTCGGTCTTTACAGCTGCTTGACAATCCAAACACTGAGGAGAGATTATAAAATCCAAGAAAGAGTCATTGTATCCAACTCTGTCAGTCCAGCCTCAAAACCAAGACACTTTGTCCGCAAGTCCAACTTCGTGATGCACACTGAATCAACACTGATGAGTAAAATCCTGATGACTGATCACATCCACCGATCCAAACCTGTCGTGCTCCTGGTTTTACGCGCACAGGGTAAGTGCGCTGTCGTCAGAGAAGAGATTAGCGAGAGAGACAAGCTGTTGAGGGTCTCTGCGCCTTGATGCGCTCTACTAAGATACTGTAGGAGCCACCTGTTCAGGTTTCAGCCGCTGACAGCTGGGGCTGTCCCGATATAGATTTGTTTTTTATCCGTTTGCTGTCGTCCACCTACACCATGCTGTGTGACTGATGCGCTCTCTAACACCGACGCTGTACAGAGAGGGTCTACACCGACGCATGCACGTCTTGGCCACAGCGCTCGAGCGCACTTCATTTACAGTAAATGTTATTTAGACTGCTCGCTCTCAGACTGTCAGAGGGGTGTCACGCAGTCTCAGGAAAGCTCGTCTGTCTTCAGTCAAGTGAAACAAATCTGACCATTTAGCTTTTTTTCAATGAAGCACTTAATTCAAGAGTTTCTCTCACAGCAGCATTATCCTATGTATTATCCTATATAAAAGACTATAACAGAATATAATATATACTCAGTTGTTGAATATTTAAATAAAATGTCAAGTTTTGGATAGCTTGGCTTTCACTTTGCTGAGCTACTGTATGGGCAAGGGAGTCTCAAACCTTTCAACGTCAAAGGATGGAAAACCCAATGCTTTTATTTTGTAATAAAGACAGAAGATAGTGACGGAATTGAATAATATTAAATATCCTAATTTTGCTGGAACCTTTTAGAACTTTGAATAAGTATTAAATGAGAAAACTACAGAAACAGACAGTGAGTCTACAGGGGACAAACAGCCTTCTGGTTGTTGACCATAAACATTCTCAACAACAAAAATACTTACGTTAATATTTTAGTTTAACGTGTTTTTCCCATATATAAAGTAAAGAAAAAAAGTCTGAAAAAGGGCTTCCAGAGTTACTTCCTCATCAGGCCTCGTGCCCCGCCCACCACCGCTGCTTGCGCTAGGTAGACAGGTGAGAGAGCAAAGCTATCAAGATGGTTACCTTCAGAGGAAACAAACTGTCTCTGGTAGAAAACATCGGAGAGCCACTCAAGTTTGATCCTCAGTCAAACCCAGACTCAGATGAAGACTATGTTGTCCACCCAAATCGGCGAGTAGCAGATGTATCAGAACGGTAAATATAGCTAGCATCATTTTTGTGTTTATGTTTGTTAGCTTGTAAGCATGTATCTGGCAGAGGCTGAAGCAGGCGCAGTGGTTGTGCTAGTGCAAACTCTTGCTCTTTTTACTGGCAAGGTTCCAGGTTTCTTTTTTTTTTTTAATTTTGCATTTTTTGTTGTTGCAATAATCAAAAAAACAATGTTAAAAACCAATTGGCTTTTCGTTGAGGGAACCATGGTGATGCTAACTTCCAGGTTGGCCTCCAAAAAAAATACGTCATTCCTGCAGCACTCTATTGGTTCCTTAGGTTTGTCACATATTAACTCTGGCTGTCAGAATCCGTTGGGCCAACATTTACTAAAAGAAGGAGAAAAACTTTACACTATTATTCATATGATATCATCTCTGCCAGGTGATAAAATGTTGTCATCTGTCGGCAACAAAGAAAATGGCCTTATTTTTAGATTGACTAGGCTACCATACATTTTTGTGCCATCCAACAGATTTTGAAAGAACTTTAGTATACCCAGAGAAGACAGCAGTTAATATCCTTAAACTTAAGTTGAGCATGACAAAAGTGTAACAAGGTTTTTTCCCTGAGCACACTGATATGTGAAATGGCAACTTATCCTTCTCCGTAACAAGAGACCAGACATTACAGAATTAACCTTGTGATGCCGTCATGATGCAAATGTAAGAAGACAACATTTGTTTTCCAGTGACTAATCCCCACAGCAGGGGGGCGGGGAACCACTCAGTGGCTCCATGTGCTGAGGAGCCCAGAACAAGTAAAGGAGATGAATATGATTAGATGACAGCAGTTATGCAACAGCAGTAGCCACTTCAGTAATCAGCCTCAGCCATGGGACAGGAGGAGCAACTATCCATGAAGCTGCTCCTGCCCGCATTATTACTCTCAACTAATCTATTCCCTTATTTCTTAATCTGTAGTTGTATTTCAGGAGTTAACTATACAATAAACACAATAAGTAACATCACTGGAGCTAGAGCTATGTAATGTGCAGCTAACAAGCATACAAGATCTAATGCACAATTTCAGGTTTTGTGTTGAGCCAAAGTGTTTTTGGCCCCTGCTGGTGGAGTGGCGCTTCAGAAGAATGAGGGATGAGAGATGGGGAACACTCTCCCAGAAGTGGAAGGCTCCTTTAAGTCTGGCCTGAATAATAATGACAAGGACTGCGATAGGAGGCATTCATCTTATACAACCTGGATTAGAGTGAAGCAGAACACACCAGGCTGCATATTTGTTTGTACAATGTTTATGTGCCACAATCGCACATTATTTTGCATCAAATGTTATCTCTGCACTGTAGCATAATTGGAAAAAGTAAGTATGACACTGGAAAAGAAAGATCAAACTATCATAGAACCACAGAATTACGCCTATTTGCTTTCTCTATTTCTTCGCTTGGCTCAGTAATTTCCTGGGGTTTCTGCTGGTTCCTTGGCAAACTCATGGTTTGTTTCTCCCTCAGTGCTTGTGCTAAACTAAGATAAGCAGCTGCTAACTAAAGGCTTCATATTAAACAAACACATATGATAGTGGTATCAATCATCTCATGTAACTCTTGACAAGACAGCAAAGCGTATGTCCCAAAATATCAAACTATTCCCTTAAAACCAAAGCTAGTCATGCTCTGGCTCTGAAATTTCTGAGCTGTTACACATTATCAAAGTGGAAGCAAGTCAGTCATAGTAATCCTTGACACAGTTCACCTGGGAGAGTTATTGTGCTGTGTGCATTTTGTCACCCAGGTGACAAAGCATTGGTAATGGGAAGCAGCTGGAACAAAACAATGCAGATACAGTATATCTCACCATGACAACCAAAAACTAATGAAACTAAACATCACAGTTTATGTATAGATGACAAAAGACAAAACAAGGACTGTGTTACCAGTGAGCAATTCTAAAAATAGAGAGACTTAACTGCTCAGAACAGGAAATAAAAAAAAAGAAGAAAAAAAAGAGGGACACTCTGTGAATGTGAATTTGCTGTGGGTGTATAGGAAAATGGAAACAATTAATTTCTTCCCGTTTTGCCTCTACAGCCTCCAAACATACCTCAGGTTGGACCCTTCTGTTCCTGCCCCAGCAGCAGCCGTGGAGGAGGCTAAAACCACAGCAGGCAGGTGAGGTCCCGTCTTCCCACATAGCACATCTCCCCCATGCTGCTACAACCATACCCTGAAGCCCACCTCAGCCTCTAGACACCATTTCCAGTCAGAGGGGAGGTAGTTACTCAGTAGGTCAGAGATCAAATGGACACCATCAGAAACAAAATGAAGGATGATGATGATGCCAGGCCTGCATTTCCTGCTGCTTTAAGTCTAGAAACTAAGTGTTGCTCCTTGAGTCCATTTGACAAAATTAAAATCTTCTTGAGCGTCACAGAACTTCAGTTAGTATTACGTTCCACCGTCTTCTTTAGATGTGTACAAATCCTGAAAAAATGTTGTATTGCTTCTTACTGCAGAACTTACTGTGAGTCCTCACAACTCTCCAGTGCACGCTGGACTTGGCTTCGCTGCATCGTTTACTCATATAAGGTTATATTCCGGTTGATTGAGACCTCAGTGCCCCAGTGTTTTCTTCCCAGTCAGGTTCCTCCAAATTATTTTCTCTGCTCCTGGATACAGACAAAATAGAAAGGCAGGCTGCAGACAGACACTGAGAGGATGCTTTGTGCTGTTGCTGTAACCGGTGAGAGAGTGCTCTCTGTCTATGCTGCTGCCAGTGACGTATGGATGGGACTCAACAAGGGACCCATCCTGAGCCGGAGACACATCAGCAGGGGCCTGGCACTTAGCTTCCTGTAAAAGAGGCCTCTGGGAGCGCAGGTTGGTAGAGGGGGTGGTGGGGTGGGACTATGGGACTAAAGAGAGGAGAGATAGAGAGGTACTGTAGACACTGTAGATCCCATCATGCTCCCAGGTTGGCTCTTCATGGGGCTGAGGAAGTCAGACAGGGAGGAGGTACAGCTCTAATAGGCCTCCCATGTGGTTCAACCGATGCCTGCAACTTTCCTCTGCCTTCTCACTTGCCACTGTATCCTGGAGACAAAGCCGGTGGGGCTGTCATATTGCCCTCCAACTCCCCTCACCCCCACCGCACACCTCTCCTTATCTCCTCCATCATCTCATCTACCATTCTCAACTTGCTTGGCTGCTGCCACAAACCCCTGCGGGATGCTACAGTCTTGCTGACAAATACTGCGTAGGTGAAAGCTTATCCCACCACACCCTGGCTGCCCCTGGCCTCCTGCCTGCTGCACACAGCAGCAGAGAACTGCAGAGTCCACAGCAGGACAGGACACAGGCTGACTGTGAGCTTTATGCTGCAGGTAGTCGCGGGGGAACAAAGTGTTGTAATTACCTTTCTGTACCGCTTTATTCTTTGCCGGTGTATTTACTGGAGATGACTAAATGACAATTAAGTACCAACTCTCTATTTAAACTCAAGTTATTATAGGTTACCATGCAACATTTAATTTTAAATGTTGTTTTCATAGTAAAGGACATGTCCTCTTAGAGAGCACAAGTATCTTTGCTCACACAAGCTCCACCCCTCTACCAAAAATAAAAACTGTAAATCACCTTGTTTTGGTGACAGGAAAAATGTTGCTATTTCTGTAGCATGAAGCACCAGGGTGCTGTATTTCATTACTGCCCTGTCAGCCAGTCTTGACTCTTACATGACAGAGAGGGGTAGCTGCTGTATCCTTCCTACTCATCTTGTGTCTTTTAATTTACAATATTTAATTCATGGCTCTACACCCACTTATAATGGAGGCCTTTGACAGGCTATTGGCCTCTCAGGGCCACACCTTTCCCATGTCTCTGAGCCTTAAGGCCAGATCTGGATGGAGTGAACAGCAGGTGGTTGGGCAGGCTACACCAGGCCAGATGAGACTCTGTTAAAGTAGGGCCAAATTACCTCCTCTTAGAGGATCATAACCTGGTGCCTTACATTCTGTTCGGCCCCTGGCTAATCGCTGCCAGCTGCCAGACG